AATACTGGTTAAAAAACATTTTTATTTAATTAGAGGTCATTTTTAGATCATAATCTTTAATAAAAAAAATTACCATGGTGGGTTGCCATTTAAAAAAAATAAAAATTTCCAGAACTCGAAAACTAAAAGAAATTTCGAAAAATGTTATTCTTGATAAATGGTCACATTTTAATTGTACTTTACGCTACACTAATAATTTTTTTCGTAAAGTGCTTAGTTTACGAAAAAAACGCTTGGTTCCATACTCTTTATTCACCTGGTATTTAAACACGACGGCAATAATAATTTATTACTTAACACGCAATTTTACATCATTAATATTTTCAATCTATCAGTTTACATTTAAATAAAATTTCTTGTAAATCCAATTAACAGAATTTGTAGATTTTTTAAGATTTACAATTTTATGTAAAATTGCACATTTTTCCTTTAGATTACACATTAATACAAACCTCATCAATGAAGGCAATCGTGCCATTAACATGCACAATCCCAATCTGTTCGCTCTGCAACGACGGATGCGCCCTAATCCTCAATCCTGCCGAATTCTGAGCCACAAATTTCCTCAATTTACTCGGCTGATAAATCGATTTTTTCGCCGTAATTTGACTCGGCGGTGTCATTCCTTGCGGTGGTTCCTTAACTTCAACTTTGAAAGCTTCCTCCATGTCATAACCGTCGATATAGACAACAATCGAGTAAAAACCGACGGATGCGGGTGTCCAAGTAGCACTATAGGTCCCATCACTGTTATGTCTCACTAACATATTCTCGCTGGATCTTTTAACAGGAGGACAGGCGTATCGCAATTCTTCGAACGAGTAATTCTGATACGACTACAAAATATTTATTGAAGAAAAAAATATTAAGAGTGGAAAAATCAACCTTCATGACACTAATCGAATGGAAACACATTTTATCCCTGATGGTGGGCTCGTAAGGATGGTGTAAGGGGGGCGGTACTAAACCCCCGAAAGTCAAAGGGTCGGGTTGCATGACTCGAGGGATTTTTCTCCCAGAATCGCATTCGCCTAATTCTTTCTTATCAATAGGAATCGCTTTTACTTCCACCTTCAAATTGAATTTTTACATTGTGTTTGGATTTTTTCACACTTACTTTCATATTTGGAACGTTAACTAAATCAGAGTATTGGTCTCGCGTAACAACTGTGATGATTGCTGGCCATCCGCATCGTAACTCTTCTCGGGAATACAAAACTTGACATTTTGATGGATCTACTCTACTGCCAGGCTGAAGCCATTGGGCTAAACGGCCGCCACTGGAACCGGCCACACAACTCACGAAGTCTCGCAGGAAGAGTCTCTCATTTGAGTGGATGCTAAAATTCGATTTTGAGTGAAAACACAAATAAAAATATGGCGAAGTTTGAAAATATTTACTTGGATGAGAGGGTTCTATTTCAGCCTTAGTTTAAATTAGATTAAATCACTTTGAATCGGGTCAAGGATAAAGAAGGATGAATAGCGAAACTAATTATTGTAATAATCTTAAAAATTTTATTGCAGTGATTTGTTTTACCTCGTTGGTTCAATCAAAAAAATAAGTAATATAATACAACTAACTCTGACTTAATTTGTTTGAATTAAAGTGTGTTAACGATATTTTAATGTATCTTTTATAACCGATAGCTACACATTTTTTTCTTGATTTACATTTTATTCATTTTGAAATGATAGAATAATGTTTATTACGATAATTGCAAATTATAAATATAGACTATAATTTCTACTTAGACTAGAAAATGAAGGTTAGTGATTAGTTTCATATCGAGAGTTACTGAAACTACTTCTAAACTATGTTAAACAGTTAACAGTAATTTATTTATAACTGATTCGAATATGTGAAAAAATGTGACAATCCGTGAGAGTGAAATGTTAAATTAATTTCAAATTAAAATTTCATTGTATTTAAATGACATAAATCAATTTGTGCTATTTCCAATCTTTAAACTTAAATCAGAAATCGTTATAAATCAATGTATGTTTTTTTCATTAAAATCAATGATTAAATAACAGTTTTCTGCCAAAAGTAAAGCGATTTGAGCTATTTCCAATTCAATTTTGATCTATTTTAACTCAAAAATAATTCTAAATCAATGTATTTTACCAAAATAATTGCTTAAATTCCAATTTTCGGTCAAAATAAAGCAATGTGTGCTATTTCCAATCGATTTGGATCGATTTTAAACCAGAAATCAACCTAAATTTATTGAAATTTTCAACAAAATAAATATTTAGATTTCAGTTTTCTGCCAAAATAAAGCGATTTGTGCGCCATTTCCAATCGATTTGGCTCAATTTAGGCCAGAAATCAATGTATTTCAACAAAATAAATGCTTAGATTTCAATTTACTGTCAAAATTTGAGCTATTTTCAATACAATTTTGCTCAATTTTAACCCAGAAATCATTCTAAATCAATGTATGTTAACAAAATAATTGCTTAAATTCCAATTTTCGGTCAAAATAAAGCAACTGTACCATATAGGTGCTAGCTCAGGTCAGGACCATAAAAGTCGATTTTTTCTTGAAAAATGAAAATTTATCATTTAGTTCATAGAAATTCTTTTTCGTTTTTATTCGTATCTTTGTGTTTTTAAACCGGAAGCTACTGATTTGTTTCTTAGTTATAAAAAATAATTCGAAATTCAATTTGAACAATTTTTTAGTTTCTAATAAAACATTTGCATCGTTATTGATTCTGCAATATCTGCTATAATAATGCACTAATTGCAATTTGTCAGAAAGTAAAAAGAAAACAATTCTGCACGTGTTATTAATAATTAACTTGTTTTTTTGCATAATTAAAGACTTCTCAAAACAAATTAGAAATTACTATCATATAGGGGCAAAAATTGGCTTTCAGGACAAATAGCAGATCTCGCAGAATCAACGACGATGTGTTTAATTTATTTTTTATTTCAGTGTGCCAAATTATCTCCTTCTTAAATGTTGTTCTATGAAATTTCGCTGCTAATACTCATCTACAAGTTTTGGTACAGTTAGTGTGACCTTACAAAATTGTTAATTTTTAATTAAATTAGAATAAATCTAGTTTAAACTTAAATGTTATTTAAATTATTAAATGGTATTTTGTGGTCTTATCGAATAGAAAAAATCCACTCGTTACACAAAATCTGGCATTTCTGGAGGTTGCACCAACAGCTGTTTAAAATGTTTATTTGCGAATACTCACAAAAGTAGCAGAGATTTGCTCCAGAGATAATAAACAAATTGTCAGCAAAATTGTTTGTCTACTGATTATAGTTTTACATAATAATAATGAGTTAATGAGTTAATTATACATTGCGAACATACAAGGAAAAAAATATTGAAACATTAAGTTATACTAATTTTAATCACATTGTTAGCTTTTTTATTTAGTAATTAAGAATTATCCTTTGCTCCACTGAATTTAAAAAAAATAAATTCATTAATTTTAATGTTTGTGTAAAAATAAAGTTTAAGTCTATACTTAAAGAAGAATATAAATTTTCTTCCATGTCAGTCGCAGTGATGTCATTGTCATTAGTTTCCAAGCGAGTAGCTACGTGTACTTTAATAAACCAAAATGAGAAAAAGAAAAAATAATAAAAATAAAGTCGTCAAAATTGGAATTCGTACTATAGAATCTGGTTTATAAAACTAGTTTTGCTATAGGTATACTTATTAGGCATTCATTTTACTTTGTTGTTTTGCTTCTTTTATTAATAATTTTTTTAATGACTAAAAGAAATTCTAGTAATGGATTAATTTTGAGTTAACAGAGTTAACATATACATAGCATATACAGGTGGATAAAAAGTATAAAACCAATTTTTTTTTTAAATCATCTGCTTTCAGAAAATAATAATTAACAAAAATTAAAATGTAATAAAAATTTAGTTAGCGTTTTGAGAATTAAATTTTATTTTGTATTTGAGTTTTGTGTATTTTTTTGTCAAAATGAAAACTTACATAAATTAACAAATAAACCGTTTTAAGTAACAGATTGTTTATACAAGGTGTAACAAAAAGATGGAGACAACCCCAGGTCAAAATAAACCCCACTTACCCTCTATACCAAGTTGCACCGTTTAAAAGTTATTAGAGGGCAAATTATTTTCGTTTTTCTTTAATAACTTTTTAATGGGTTAATCGATTTTTATTAAGTTTGGTACAGGCAATTTGATATCAAAACCACATGTTTTGGTGCTAATTCTTTTGTTTTATTTTTATTGTAAAGTACTTACTATTAACAACTTGACACATTTTAAGCCATATTTTTGTTACACGTAATCCGAGTAGCGTAATTCTATTTTTTAAACAATTTTTGTATTTAATAAAATTTTTGTATCGGCCTTGGTTTTACAGTAAAAAAATAATTTAAGTAAATGTGTTAAAATTTTGGACGTTGGGCATTTATTAATATTGTTTCTAAAATTGTATTAAAATATTTTTAGGTCTTAGTGTCCTCTTAAACGGTGCAAATTAGTTTAGAGGTAAGTTGCGTTAAATCGCGTTATTTTGAAATGTCAGGTTACCCCTTGTCACCATCTTTTCGCTACACCCTGTATTTTTATTTAAAATAATTAATAAGATTTACGATGACAGGGTTTTTCTACTTTTTAAACATTAATTTCCTATTATGTAGCTCATAAATGTTTGCTTAAAATATAAAACTAATATTTCAATAAATAAATAAAATTCTTTACGGTTTGCAATCGGAATACGCCATTAGCAAACCGAGAACAAGTTGTTAGCACTTGAAAGTTGATATGACATTAAAGTAACATTTACATTATAAATTGCAGTAGCTGTTTGAAGTAACGGTAAAAGATAACGAATAAATTAGCACAAAATTTCTAAAATTTTAATTTTTTTGAAATACTTAAAACCACCAAGTGGAAAGAATCAGTTTCGCAAGGTCATACAACTCTAATCTTCGCCCATATTTTTTATGGCTTGACCACGACCCAACAACCCATCACCGAATCCTCCTTCATTAGTAATCCAACCAGATAAACACTCCACTCCCACGAAAACCCTCCCCACGTCATCGTCCACAATCCCGACAAGGACAACCGCGACCCAAACAAAGACACCACATGATACACCAGCCAAGAGCAAACCTATTCAAAAGCGCCAGTCGCTCAGAACAGTCCTAACACTGACATCGTTTCCATATTCCTATCGAAAAAAAAAGAGCACCAAAGCGGTCTCATGCAGGTCGAATCATGTCGTTTGCAGTGTTTGTGCGAAACGTAACCGATGAACCAGTGCGAGAATGAGTGTACGAAATGGGTGTCCGATTGTGGCGGTCCTTCTTTGTGCTTCTATGGGTGTATTTTTTTGGGATAAAGCTCGGGAGAGGAGACACGATATGTGACTTGAAGGGTTGCAATTGCACCGTAAAGGTGGCCAAGTGGAAGAGTGTTAATTGCTCTCTGAGCGGAGTTCAGGCAAGTAGAAGAAATGAAAATACTAACAATGAAGCACGACTAATCTTTTTCCCACCCCCTTCTTTTTCAAGTTTTAATTTGAATAATTTATGGTTATTAGGAGCCACCGCTCCACCGGAAATTTATTTGATAAGAGTTTATCGTTCCGAAGACGTGATTGAGAAACGAACTCGTGTCATACGTTGTAATTCATTCAAGTGGAACATTTCCGATTTATTTAAATTCATTAAAAAACCCGAAAAAAGTCACTATTTGTATAATAATGCTAGAAACTAGACAAGAGCCGGACGCGATGTATATCGCTATTTGTTTTGGTTCTTTTCCCTTGTTATTAATACTGGAACCTCAACCATGTGCCAGTTTGTTGGAAGAGTTAAAAGTCGGCTGAGTCACACTTGAAGAAAGTAAAATCAAAGACTTGCAACAATCTATTTTTGAATCAAAACTAATACAATTGGCATTAACGAGAAAGTAAAGTACATAACGATCGACTAATTTACCTACTTATTGGACTTTTATCGAACAGAAAGAGAAAGTACAACTTTAATTATCGTGTGCAAAAATAGACATTTGAAAACCCCTCCTTTGTGATTATAAGTAGCCACAATTACCGCAAAAATCCGCACTTAAACCTGAGCTATTTGAAACATCCGATCCTGAGGAATTATTACACAAGCGTTTCCCTATAAACAATGATCATTGACCTCACAAGACGAACGATTTTGGCAAAAATATCCATGTTGATTTTACGATAAAAAAAAAACAAATAGACCTACAAATAGCATATCATGCAATTGTTTTACATTGTAATTAAATTTTGTCCATAATGTAATAAATTCTACGTGACATTTCTTAGAAATTAATCAAATGAGTAATTCTTAAACAGATTACAAAGCAAAAATATCCGTTTCTGGGAGAATCATACTGTTTATGGGGCAGTTTATCATAATTAGTTTTGATTAAACATGGAAAGACGAGATTTGTTTTTGTGCTTATCTAATGTACACAACAATCAATATTTTCACGATTGCACCTAGCAAATAACCTTCAAACTGTTACAATAAAGGAATAGATAAGACACCAAGGATTCAGTAAAAACTATAAAAGGTTTCAACAAAAGACAGTGTAAAAGTCGTTTCACATTCATATAGAACCAGATGCAGTGGCTAGGTAACAATAAACACACATGATTGTACAATTTTTAATGATTTCAGACTAGATACAAAGGAAGAATGACTAAATTATCAGGAAAAAATGACTAATAGCATGTCAAGAAGTGTTTAAGGTTACTTTACCGAATAAATTAATTGTAAACCTCGGTGAAAAGTGCAACAAAAGTACGCCGCGTTTTGACGATTTGTTTTTGTGTAATAGGAGTATAGTAAAATCGTTTTCCTAAGACCTACTAAAAATTTTATGACACATTATAAGGGATTAACCACACAATGGCTTGAATTTGTAACCCTCCATAAATGGCACGTTCCTTTGCAAGTGTTGCTGCACCCACTAGAATAAAACAGGGCCGTATTCAAAAACTAAAGTAGTGGTAGAGTTTTACTAAGCTATTATTAAAAAAATCAGCTTTATTTAATAATAGCTTGTTAATAACCACCTGGCATTTTTAAATTTCTTAAAATACTTGGCTTTAATAACAACTACATCAAAAATTATTAAAACATTTCAAGTATTTTAGACAAAAAGAAAGTAAGTAATCCGGCCCTGTTAAAAATTGACCTGTTTTAGGGTCCGGGTGGGTTTCACTAATATGATTTCTTTACCCTCTGGTTTACTCTTAACAATACCGCATTTAACTTAAAAGTAATAAAATTTTTATTAGGTCTTAGGAAAACGATTTTACTTTATTCGCTCACAAATCAGCATTAGCCAAGAAAAACAAAAAAAACGATTTGTGTAAAAAGCGTTTGAGGCTTGGATCAAGGTTCACTTCAGTATTTTTCTTTCATTTTTTGGAGAATCTTGAGTCTTCAAATCTCGCATCCACTCCTCAAATTTGTATTTTTTTTCCCAAATCTACCATTTTTGAATGTATGCCATGTACGGACAGGATAATTAAGTGCTTCCTGCATTTTAATCGACGCATTCATCTCGGTGACTCCCTGTGAAGTATACACGTGATCGTGGTTGAGGTCTCAACACCACAACCTGTTTTCTTCTTCGGCTTTTTTTTTTTGAAGAAAACGACAACCTAAAAGCTTTCGAAGTTGCTCGGACTCGTTCGATTTACCTTGTTTGTCATGGTTGTGTGTCTTTATGGACATGGTAGCTGACTCAGATAAAATAATCGAAGAAAACGAAGTGATGTTGTTGCCAACGGCCGACAAATTGGTCAATTGTCAAGGGTCAGTTAATTTAATTGCACCGTTTTGGGGTGTTGCATTGTCATAAGGTGTACAGTTACTGTCACTGACCGGCCATATTTTAGACACTTCTTATTATATGTTGTCAAGGAATTTAATTTTTTATTTATTTCGATTGAGACCGGGTTAAAAATAGACTATTTTTGGGCTCGGGTCAAGAAGCACACTTTGTCAAACATTTATTCACAATTTAACAATGAAATAACAACAGTTAGCTGTGTTGATAAGGCCATGTAATGGAATCAAATTTCTTTGATTAGATACTCTGAAATATTCTGGAAATGTTAACAATGAAATTTCATAATTATTACCAAGGAATGGTTAAAAATTCAAATAAAATTAGTCAGTGCTAGATAGTGAACTTTGCGAAAATGTCACAGGAAATATACCTTGAAAGGATAACGACACCCTTAGTCCGGATATTGGCGTTTCAGGATTCATGAAATAATCCTGAAGACAAAATTGCCTGAACAATTATCCTGACACGTACTTACGTAACTAGATCAATTGGTGCTTTAGTAACATTCTTTTTACCAGTCCAAGGTCTTGATTAATTTTGGTATAGCACAGATTTGTTTGCTTTGTGACACTTTTGCGGATATGACCCGGTTTTTAGTCATCAATTTGAAGAATTTCTGATAAAAAAAATATTTCTATTCGTTTAAATTTTTACTCATCGTATTTATGCTTGATGAATAATTCTGGTATTTCGAAGACGAAAAGATTTTACGAAGAACAGAATAATGTCGATGGATAATTTGTATTTGTTGAAAGAAGATAACCTTGATTTTATTATTATCTCAGTGTCTACAAAGATGGTTCAAATATGTATTTATTTTCTAAATAAGTAATTTTCACAATGACGAGGTGATTTTTTCTTTTCTAATGATTATAAAATCAATGAACACGACTCAATTAAAACTTTTATTTGTTGATATGTGGAAGTTGTAGTCCTTGTATTAAATTGGAATTAAGTTTTTGTCGTCTAACTTTATAATTAATTAATCAGTGAAAGGATTTTTATATTAAAATGAATCAAAAACTAATGTAATGTATTATTAGAGCAACCTGTGTGGAGACAGATGCTTATTGAAACGTTCATGAATCATTCATTTTTATTGATTTGACCTCAGATTCACCTACAATAAATGATAAATTTATTTTTCTTATCTTTTGTCTCAATTAAATACCGATAGTTCGCTAGCAGCTGAAGAGAATGACAATTAATTTCCTCATTGAAGAATTCAAAGCCGCTCACATGGCCCCCAAATTGGAATCATTCATTAAAACACTTCGGTGTCATCAAAGCAACAAAACGAAAGAATTATCTGTACAAAACGACCAGTTCAAATCATAATGTAGCTGCCAGAAATAAAATACATTTTTTCACACGTAACAGGAAGTCTAAAATCGTACCTATGCGTAAACATTTTTTCGAACATTTCGCCACAAGCATCTGGAAGTATTGTTTATAAATTGATTTGTTATTTTTTTATATAATAAATAGCACAGGTGAAGCAACAACGGATACGTCAATCGTGCCATATAAAATTTATCCATAAAGACATCAAAAGCGGGAGCAAACAACGTATGTAATAAAGTGCCAAGGAAGATCGAGATGCGACATTCCGGGAGAAAATAGTTTGTCTGGCACATGGTGAAGCTCCCGGTTTTTTATTGAAGAATTGTCGAGATGACGTTGAACAGTTTGGAAAAGTAAATTGGTTAGAATTTTGTGAAAGTTCAAGGCGAAGAACTGTTGATTTATTGCGATATCGAAGTAATTATCAGGCATCTGCTGCATCTCCTCTCGTATCGACTAATTAATCGACGACTTATTAATATATCAATCATTAAAACGTAAAGCGGAAATGTGAAAGAGTGCAGCCTGTAGACAACTGTACATCTTTCATTCTATGCATGATAATTTGTGTGAGGAAGTTATGAGGTCGTAGTGTCATTCTTGATTGAGTTTGTTGCAATGATAATGGAGAACGGATTTGAATATCTGCACGAAAATGATGATGCATTTGTGTTTATTTCCGAGTTATCTCGGAGTCTTTAGTCTTTAATTAATCAGTGGCAGATGTTAGCTGTATATTTTCGATAATGATCGACAAACTTTCATTAAAAATATTTGTTTTATGATAATAAAGGCACATTGTAATGAGAAAACAGGGTTTTATAATTAGCACAAGTTGTAATAAGAATATGTAATTACTTAAATCAACCGCATTTTATGTCAGCTTATTATAATTTGTTTAAGATTTAAACATGTGTGACGTCTTACATTTTTTTTTTCACATTACTAAATCTATCTTCAATACATATAGAAAACTAAGTAAATATTTCCAAAACTTGATTATTTTTTAGAAAGCAGGCTTTTTTGTCATACTTTTTATATTTTTGGTTCCTCTTATTCGAAATAAAGATGTCCATATCATTTTATTTCTCAGCTTGTCCAACTATACATTGTTATACAGGTGTTCCGTTTTTATTGTTACAAATGTAGACAGATGATAGAATATTCAATTTTAAGACAAGTGTCCTATAAACATGTGTCAAAAAATCGAAGCTACACTCCCTAAAAGGGGTGCGTTTTTAAAGAGTTTTTTCCAATTTTCCAAAATAGATAAAATTACAAAATTTGGTAGGTACAGCTGATAACCTTTAATACTCGTAGATACACCTAAACGAATTCCAAGATGAAATGTCGAAATTTTTAATCAGGGGCGTCCTAAAGGGTAAAACGAATTTTATTTTTAATTTTTATTTTTTGGTCTGTAACATAACTGATTTTACTGAAAAAAGTTGTATCGGAAAAACGCAAAAGATCTTTTTTATGAAAAACTATGAAATTTAGAATTTTGTTACTGATTGTGGCTGGAAACTACTGCCAAAATAGTTAGAGTATTTTTTACCCTAAACCCAATTTCAACATTTTATCTTTGAATTCGTTTAGGTGTATAAAGGTTATCAATTGTAGCAAATTTGAATTTTTTTTTCTAAAATGGTTTCGGAAATATTGGAAAAAACCTATCAAAAGATGCACCCTTTTTAGGGGGTGTAGCTCTCTTGCGAAGCGTTTTATCTAAAATGATTTTGGAAATATTGGAAAAAACTTATTAAAAGACGCACCCCTTTGAGGGGGTGTAGCTCCCTTGCGTATCATTTTTCGATACATGTTTATAGGAAACTTTTGGCTTAAAATTGAATATTCTATCTCCTGTTTAAATTTGTAACAATAAAAACGAACACCTGTACAGAATAATTCAGCTAAGAAGACGAGCCTTATAAAAATAAAACGAATACACAATATGTATATTCTACAGTGTGATTCAAAAGGACCGTACTCGGGTAGTTTTTTGAACCATCAAATTAATCTCAAAATTACAAACAAAAATGTTGTAAGTTACTAACTTAGCTACTTTTTCCTTAGGTAGATATAACTCTTTAAAAATGCAACTTTAATATTAGTTCTTTATTAATTGGAGAAGGTAATTTAATTTTGTGTTTTATTAGTACGTGATGTTAAAACTGGCATCGAGAATATTAATAAATAAATAAAATCTTAAGAATAATAAGAAAAACGTACATGAAATCCTTGTAAAATGTAAAGGTTTCCTGAAGGGATATTTTGAAACCTGAATTGAATTGAATTTTCAACATAAAAACACCAAACTTTGATCTAAATTTAGGATAATAGGTATAAATTTAAGTTTTGGGTAATTTTTACATTTACTATTGTTCTGATGATGCTTAACTTAATTGGCGAAGCACATGTAGATATTAATAAAAGGTTTAGTGTTGTGTAATTACGTTCAATACATTTTTTCTGTGGCACTTTTTTAGTTTTAAAGTATGTTTTCAAATGACAATCTCTGAATTATGTATATTTATTATTCGTTAACAAATTACAAAATTAATAATATGTATAAAGAAAATAAATATCAAGAAAAAACACAGTACATAAAATGTCTGAAAACAACAAATAAACGACTTTAATTAAATAAATGAAGTTCTTTAATATTTTAGAAAAACACAATTACTGAATCTACAGTTTAATTTGCACATTTTAGATTAGTCTACATAAACTTTTCATTGATTGTCTTTAGTATTTGGTGTTTAGTATTCATTGTTCAAAAATTTGTAATATTAAACATCTCTGTTTTCAACGGAAACAAATGAAACGCTAAGTTATTAAATTACATTTGCTAAGTCAAAGTACTAAACGCTAGATGAAAATAATAAATCGGTTACAAAAGAAGACGAAAAAAAAAAGGTGGACAAACTAAATACACAGTACTGTACTTAAACGTCAAATATTTTTTTTTTCAGTAATACAATAATAAATAATATTCCTGCGCAGGGGCCATACATATTTACACTTGTTCAACGAGTGATTTCAAGTAAAAAATCGGTTATGAGTGTTTTTCGTTGGTTTGACCCAGAAGATGCATTAAAAGATAAAAATTGGTTCCACTTTCTTTACACTTAGCAAATCTTGTTTTAATACATAGGACTGTACTATCTAGCATTTAGGTTATTTTACCTAGGTACAATATTTTACTTTGCAAATCACTATTATTTACCTAGCACTTTAATAGTAGCTCACTAGTCACACTCTGTACTTTGAGCGACGAAGAATCTGTCTGATTATTTAAGATTGATAATAAACGGTTTAGAAAGATTTTTTTTGGAAAATAGTTCAAGTTTTGGTATTTCGCGGTCGAAAAATATCCGCGCAATGTTAATGTCGGTATGTGTCGAGTTACAATAATTGGCCACACATTTCTCCCTCCTAAAAATACATTGAGTGTAACAAAGCCGACTTTTCTGCATCCCGAATGTCATTTGGTTACTTGAGTCATCATTTATTTAGTCACCTGATGAACTAGCAACGTTGCGATTTTCACTCTCTATATTTACACAAACCTCTTTATAAATAGCTCAACTCAGTCGTGAATTATTCCCTACAGTTGGTAGTGTGATTTCTTAAAATTCCAGCCATTAGGCGGCTCGGGTCTGCGGCCTTATTGACCTTTCACACAATCAATTAAAAACAATAAAGGCTCACGACGAGAAATTGTACCTCTCCACTCAATAACGCCTAAATTTACCGCGGTTCGTTAACCTTCAACCTATACCGGAAACGGGTGAAAAGTCTCGGATTAATCGACATTAGCGCACCCTTCAACACCCGCATCTAAGGGATGTTGTGAAAAACAACGACTTTTAATGGATTAGTTTTGTTGCGTGTGCCTTACATGGGGGTGGGTTTATTAAATAAACCGGGGAGATTTCCGGTTAAAAACCGACAGGAAGTCACCCAAATTTTATACAAAGGTGCTACTGCACCTATTGTTTGTACGTAGGTGCGCCTCCTCGCAAATATCGTCTTTCGCAATCGATTTATTTTCTTCCAACAATCAAACTTCTATTGCTCTAACTATTTACGAAGCGGTCGTGCATAAAACTTTAATGGATACGTTCTCTTAATTAACCCTTCAATGTCAAACATACGACGAGCGAAATATTTCACTTTTTCAAAACAGGTGCAAAAGAACATCAACCACTAATCTCATCATTAGTCTCATAATTAAAATGTCAAAGGTCACCCACTGGACTTACGCAATGGGTAAATAACCCACAAAGATAAAATCGCGGAATATTCACGAAACCAGTGGCGTAACCATACATTAAAACAGATTGAAAGACCTTTAAAAGCAGTTAGTAGGTAATTTTGTTACAAATTTCCTTCTATTTATGAATTTTTTGAAAAAAATATACAGGGTGTTCTGTTTTTATTGTTACAAATTTAAACAGGTGATTCAATTTTAAGATAAAAGTTTCCTATAAACATGTATCGAAAAATGTTAAATAAGAGAGCTACATCCCCTGGAAGGGGTACATTTTTTAGTGAATTTTTTCCAAGATTTCAGCAACCATTGTGGATAAAACTACAAATTTTGGTACAACTGATAACCTTTATACACCCAAACGAATTCAAAGATAAAATGTCGAAATTTTTACTCAGGGGGGTCTTAAACTGGGGGGGCTTAGGGTAAAAGTACCCTAACTATTTTGGCTGTTGGTTCTTGCCACTTTCAGCCACACAATTATAAATTTCATAGTTTTTCACAAAAAATAGGTCTCTTGCGGTTTTTAGATACAACTTACCGTTTTTGAATAAAATCAGTTTACAATATGTGTTGCAGACTATAAAAAGGATAAAAATTAAAAATTAAATTTGTTTCACCGTTTAAGACAACCGTGATTAAAAATTTTGACAACTGATCTTTGAATTCGTTCAGGTGTTATCAGCTGTACCAACTTTTGTAATTTTCTCTATTCTGCAATAGTGGAAAACCCCATTAAAAAACGCATCTCTTTCAGGGGGTGTAGCTCGCTTACGTAACATTTTTTGATACATGTTCATAGAAAACTTTTGTCTTAAAATTGAATATTCTATCACCTGTTTAAATTTGTAACAATAAAAACGGAACACCCTGTATAGTGTTCCCTTGTTACAAAAAAATAAAATGCTTTTACTTGTAAATAAACCTAAATTATATTTTAAAAATAATGAACTTGAAAACAAGCATTTTTGCAACAGTTTTAAATCTATTTTGTCGCTTGTGTTCTACGTTGGATAAATCTTTGTATAAAAATACCATACTAGGTTGTTACGACACTGCGAACCTGTGAAACTCCCAATCTAGGTCACAGTATGTATTTGCAAACCGATTTTTCTCATGTTTTTTCTTTTCTTTTTTTTTCAGGAACTGAGACTGGATTTGTACCGAATACCTCTCGAAACCGTCGATGTGTTCATCACTGGCGGCGAAAAAATAGCCTTGGGTCCAAAATCGTTCGACCGGATGGAGGGTTTGGCCCTTCTTCACATAGAAGGCACTCGTTCTGTTGTGATGGAAAAAACATCGTTTCGTAACGTAACTACTCCTAGTCTAATAATTCAAATCCAAAACTGTGATCAATTAAGCATAAAGACTGGTGCATTCGACAATGTGCAGGTGGGTACATGATGGACAAAACAAACAAATTTTAATTAATGATAATTTCTTTGTCTGTCGCTAATAACAGTAATGAAACGTTTGCATGTTACAGAGTTCCATAGAAGTTGAAATTGTTCGATGTGGTTCAGTAAATGTGGAAAAGACGGCGTTTGGGAAACTGAAAAGTGCCCTTTTTAGAGAAATCGAGGAATTAGTGTTAGCTACGGAGACTTTTGAATTTAAAAATCAGGGCAGTATTGGACGGCATGGCCCCGTCACCACTGTAAGTATCTCATTGGGGTTAAGCGGGGGTTAATCGAAACCTTACTTCTCTCATCCTGTTTAATTTGGTTTCGAAGCACAGTTATATTTTATAAAAAATGTAGGTACCATTAAGGAGTTAAATGTCAAAATTCAATGTTTTTTATCACAATTAAAAAATAACTGATTGTGAGTTAACTATAACATAAGAAAACAAAGCATTAAATTAAATTAAATGATGCAATTCGTTGTACGCTATTGTCATTTTTGTTTGTCAGTTACAGCGCAATTTTCATTAATTTGTTGTTTTTTAAAGATTGCAGTAACAACTTTTTTCACTTACTGAAAACGTAAAAATTTATATATTGTAAATTTTTATGTAGAAAAGAATGATTTTCATTATACAGTTGTTTTTTTGATTCAAAGAATACCAGTTGATCATGTCATCACGAGATATATTAATATTCTAAAAGAAAGCTTAGATAAAATTAGCACACATTGTTGAGAGAATATATTGTAAAAAATACAACTCCATGAAATAGTTTTTTTCCTAAAACTCTTATTTTTTACATTTTTTCTGCTTTTTTTTGAAGAAACAAAGAAAAAAACTCTGATATTATAAAAATACAAGAGAAACTTAAAAAACGCAAACTCTTTAAGATAAATCAATAATACAATAACATAAAAGAACAGGAACAAAATAAAAAACAATCAAAGAAAGAAAATAATTGTGTCTAAGAAAAAATGAAACATTCTAAAAATCAACGAAATAGATTTTATACAGTGTGGCCCAAAATCACACCGCAATACGTCAACCAGTGATCGAAAATGTCATTCTGAGAAAAAAAGTTTAAATATTTTTTCTTCTATCTTTATTCGTTAAAGAGTTACAGCATAGTAAAGCATAACAACAAAAAAGTCCTGATAAATTAAAAACAATGACATCTATAAAGCAATTGCTTGGCTTCAAGTCTAATTCAATTGAAGCAATGGAAGGCATTCTGAGCAATTTTTGTAATTATTATGTCTTTAGTTAATTCTTAATTTTTTTCCAATTAATTTTTTTTATCCCATAAATGAATCGTTTTCGGATTCATGTTGTCACATTGACAGTATCAATTAAATGAGACTTGGAACTAAAATGTCATCGTTTTTAATGTCATCGTTTTATCACGACCAACTTATACAAAATTTATTGTTACTCTTTGCTAAGCTGTAACTCTTTAACGAACGAAAATAGAAAAAAAAAAACTTTTATTTTCAGAATAACATTTTCTATAACTGGTTGACGTGTGGCTGTTTGCTTTTGGGACATCCTGTATTTTTCAATAAACTTTTGTTTTAGTTTCATTTCAATCATTTTTTTTAACAAATTATTTTATAATTATGGCATTTATGTATTAGTTTTAAAGGTGATTATTTGTATTCAGCATTGTTTTTGTCTTATAAATGCTCTTCGAAACTACCAAATCCATTTTTATTTATTTTTGACAACATTTTTTTCTGTAATGTGTGAAATGGTAAAGATACGAAAGAAGCTTTAAAAAAACACAAGCTCATTGAGGTAAACAAATAATAAAATGACAGTTAAAAGAAAAGAAAGAAACTACATATGAAGAGAAAAAGAATGAAAATTAACACGTTTTGTATTTTCAATAAACTGTTGCGTTTTAGCTTCTTTTTTTTTATTAAATTATTTTAAACATTATAAACATTTATGTTTAATTTTCAATGCTCTTTGTTTATACTTAGTAAGGCTTTTTGTATTCTTTTAATATCTAATTATTTTACAAAAGCATACTGACCGTACCAAAATTACCTAGAGAATATACAACAATGTTCTCCATTCAAAAAAAGATTGTTCAATATCAAAAAAATTGGAATAAATATGAAATGTCTTATGGTTTAGATTAATTTTATAAATAAAATTCTCACAAAAACTTCAGAAGAAACTTCCACAAAATTGTGAAGTTTTTTTATAATATCTTCATTCATTTGAAATTAGACATCTTGTGGAAAAATGTTATTAATGCACTTTGTAAATAACTATTCCATCTCCGCAGAATTAGCGATTATTACCAAAAAATTAGAATAGAAAAAAATTAATAACTTGTTACTCATACGTTTCTTCTTCCAGATTTTCTTTGACAGTGTGAAAATAGCAACAATACCGTCACGGACTTTTTTCTCGAGTTTAGCTGACGTAACATTTCGTAATTCCCACATCAACGAAATAAAGACGGAAGCATTCTCGGCGAACCAAATTTCTTCAATCACATTTTCCAATTCATCAATCGATTACATCGACAGCAACTCATTCATAAGTCGGACCCTAATTTACAACTTCAAACTCCAAAAATGTACAATTAAACAAATCCGAGAAGGGGCTGTCATGTCCGCCATAACGAACCTAACTGTTCAACATTCCAAGTAATTTTCATAATTTTTGTAAACACACAAATAATAATTTTTTTGTAGTATAACAGAAATTCAGAGCGGAGCCATCAACAGCACCGTGGCTAAAGTCGACATCTCTGACAACGCCATCAGAAATCTCCATTCTTCAGGTCTTAGTTTCAACAACTGGAACAAAATCTCATTCGACCATAACATCGTCTTCAAGTTAAACTCGCACTCGATCCAAGCTCCGGTTAATCCGGACGTTATCGAATTCTCATTCACCGGAAACGAAATCTTCAAATTCTCTCCAAGTGCCTTAAGTTTCGTGCCAGATTTAGACGACCACGTCTTTGTATTTAAAGACAATTTCTTCGAACAAACGTGCCATTGTACTTTAGACGAATGGATCGTCGAACTCATAAATGCCAACATTACGAGCAAAATTAACAAAATTGCCAACAACACGTTCTGTAGAATCACCGATTTTTTATCGCAATGTTTCGAGTTGAAAGTCGGGGTTATTAATGTGAAAAATTTCACACAACTCGTCTGTAACTCAAACTACACGGTTATCTGTGAGCCTTATAAAGGAGAAACGAAAATTGTCAATACCACAATTGCGATTTTCACCGATCTTGATTCAGTAACTCCAACCAATTGGTTGACTGTTATCATAACCACAACTTCGATCCTTATTCTGCTCGTCATTGTCACTTCTACCATAATGTTGATTAGAGGAAGTCGCTGGTTGAAACGCAAAGGTTACTTCCGCAAAATCCAATACAACCAAAACAATGAACACAGTAATGATGAAGAAAATACGATTGAAACAGTAGATGAAGGAGACAAGCTTGATATTTCCGAGGATTTAACTATGGAGTTGCTCCAAGATTTGTCGAAAAAACTCGACGACCCTTTAACCCATCAAGAAGCCTCAGAAATGATCGAGCAACTCTACCAAAAATACATCCACAACATGGGTTCCGAAAACAACAACCAACAAGACGACGAAGCCCACTTATACGAAGAGTTGGGGAACTTGCAAGCTAGCGAATCCAACAAGCAACAAAGCGGTCCGCGCAGTATTCTCCGATTGATGGAAGAGAAATTCAACACCCAATTTGAAGACATTGATGCTGATGATCGACCTGCCCTCGCCGGCGAATACTCCGAACCGTCGGATGCTGCCGTTCACCTTTATTCAGAATTACGCCAAAACAAAGACGAAAGTGAGAATAAAGATTCGCTAAAGTCGCGAGGTTCAAGTAATATGGCGTTCAGGCCGTTGCCGGATAAACCAGGATCGTCAAAAATGTTGTAGTGATCTCGAGATATATTCCAGACAATCAGTGCCTCGTGAAATTGAGATGTAGCTGTGATAATGTACAGTTAGTGTGTGGCAACGCAATTGTCGTTGTTTACGTGTATATTTTGTAATTTTATTTTGATTTTACGTAAATAGTATTTTATATTAACGATTACTTGCGTTGTATAGTTTATGTTATCGGCAACATTTTTATCAAGTTACTTATATTCTTTTTGCCATGTGAAAAGAAGTGTAAGGAATTTATATTATGAAATATATTGATGACAAATTTTTCGGTGTTTCACTTTTTGCAAAACATTTAAATTAGTAATCACATCATTTTTTTTTATCTGCAAAGGTCACAAAAGACTAAATGTACAAGTAAAAGTTTTACCTTTAAACCATGGAGTAACATTTCTATTTTTGCGCCTAAGCGTTTTTTACTTTTACCATGACATTATTGACATTTATCAATGTTGCAATTTGTTTCTTTCTTGTCTCTTTCACTGCTTTAGCAATTTCTGGAGAGGCACATTGTACTACCAATTGCACTAGTTAAATTAATAAACACTTTCGAAAATTTTACTAAAAAATTATTTATAAGCATTGTTGTGATTTCATTACTTGCAAAGTATCATACTTATTGTGTTGCTCTTTACTCTCGATCTGAATACGTTTGCGGATAAAATAGTATATGTTATTCGGAATAAAAGTGGGTTTATGAGACTCAGCTTATATAACGTTCAGCTTCGCCACATATACTGTCACTTTTACACCTAATGACATAATATACTATTAATATTGAGTTAAAACATTTCCGAAAAAACTAAAATTCTTACCATCACAGTTATTTTTTTATGTTTTAATCAGATTTCTTTGTAAAATATTTTATTCTACAAGTATTGTACAAGTGATAATGGTCGACAATTTATTAGGAGTAAAAGTGCTGCCTTTTATGTAGCGAAGCTGAAGGTTTATTTTGCGGAACGTAGGAAGTTAAATAAATAATTCAACTGAACCACATAAAGTTACTTTTACTCCGAACAACATGTATAACTTTATTCGTTGAAAAACTGGTCTCCACGATAGAAGTAAAAAATCTACTTCTATGTCTAGGCTTGAAAGTAAAACTAATCTAGACACAAAAGTGTCACTTTATTGACGTTTGCTGGTAAAAGGCATTTTTAATCATTAATAGAATAATTCACGAGGGTAACTAAGAGCTCTAGTGGATCAAGTTTTAAAATATTATACAAAATTTGAAAATTGCGATTCGTTGAGATATAGCAGTTTTTCGAATAGACATGTTCTGTAATCATTGTCAACAAAAATTCACAATTTTTGTAATTGTTCACAAAAATAGAAGATATGTTTGTTCATTGTTCATAAATGATTATATTGGTGGTGAAGCTGAGATTTTTGATTCACATTAATCTATAAAAAGACAAAAACTATCTTTATCTATCCATACTTTAGATAAACAAGTATTGATTCCACAAGAATATATGTATATGTACATATACTTTTTTGATTTTTATTTAAACTGTAGACATTTTCAGGAAGAACAAAAAGAAAAAAAAACAACATAAATTTGAGAAGTCTATCCCTATACCAGCTTTTCAATATTGAAAAGTTCATCTTAATAATGAATTATTGATTAATCAATACTAATTATTTTACACGTAAGAAGATCCAAAGAAGTAGTGAAGCAGAATCTCCGGAAATTACGCTATGCACCGAAATTTATAAAACTCAGTATTTTAAACCTAAAACTAATGAAGATAATTTAATTAAATTCAGTAAATAAATAGAATTAAATATAAAACAATACATAACCTTGGTTTCTGAAACGATTTATAATTGGATAAATTTTATTATTCATAATTGCTATAGACACACCAATCAGATCAGCGCTACCTTATTATTAAAGTAATATAGAAACAATAAAATTTATCTAATGTTAACTCGTTTCAAAAATAGACATTTAAATTGTGTTTTTAGTTTATTATAAACTCAAGAATTTATGACATACCTAGGTATATTGCTGAAGATAATTAACAGATATGTATATTGCATAAATTTATTAACTCTGACTTATAATTCTTGTCATTTTACTTGCATATTTCTCGATGTTATCAATAAAAATATAATTTAATTGTTTTGAGCAATGTACATGCATAGAAATTGTTTTTATGTTTTTCCTCCCTGTAGATTAGAAATATGAAAACTACAAAAATATTTAAAAAAAACTCCAGAAACTGAAAGATGCCGTCCTAAAAGGTTTTTTTAAATAACAATAAAACAAGTTTGAAACAAGTTTGTGTAAAAAAAATTAACATTACTAATTTTTTTACAAAATAAAAATAGTAACAACTATAGGTTTTTCCAAAAAAAATATTCATACAAGATGAACAGAGAGTATGGGACCAAAGTTTTTTGCTTAAACTATTCATTTTTTGAAAAAAACTAATTGATGAACGCTAAAATGCTATAAAAAAGTCTCTCAGCCATAAACTTTTTCGATTTTTGCTAATGGCAACCCACTATAAAACCCTTTTTTACTAAACAAACCTAATAGTTGCAACTACGAGTATCTACATTTTCATCAGTTTTTATCGAAACTTTTTTATATACGAGTAAGTTGCCATGGTGAAGAAAAAATCGCATAACTCAAAAACAAAACAAAATCTTATTTTTAAAACACGATCACGTTTTTATAGCACTTAATTTCTTATTAATTTTATTTTCTCAAGGCAAATTAAAAAAACTGCTTAGTTCCATGTTCACCCTGTACACAAAATAGTTCTTATTTTGTTACATGCTATAGATGTATTTATTTATTATAATTTGTAAAACCAGTTAGACTATAATTCAAACCAAACGCAAAATGTTTCCATAATTTACATAAATCTATCTCAACCAGTTTTTCGTTCAAAATTTTAGGTTACTATAAAACTTTGCAGTTCAAACAATTAAATTCCCAGAAACGTAGACATCCAACTACCAACAAAACAAACTCAAAGTAATTACATTTTTCACCCCGCGAGTGCATTTTTATTTTCCTTCGTCGGCGGCTAAAATTAGCTCATGCAATCTACTCCATTTACAAATTACACACATCTCGATCGATTCACGACGGAATCTCCTCAATTAAATATAATTACACAATTACAACGAGTAAAAGACCTCATTACGTAACAATCAAAGCATTCCTCGTGCAACTCCCTACGAATTAAAATCCTACAACATGAAACGGCGTCGATTAGTTAGACGACGCACGGCGTCATCGTCATGGCAACTCGCCGTCAAAACAACATCCTTGTGATCATTTGCGAAACCACCGGCCCCAAGACTCGTTGCGTTTCACGGTGTACTGAGTGTTTTATTGTGATTTAACTAGTGAGAGAGAAAAGTGTTTCATTTCGGTGAGGTGAAGTCAGTTCGAAATATTTAAATTGATGCGTTTCAATTTGCATGAAATAAACGCCGCCCGATTGGTATTAATTGCGCGTGCATCTATTGTGTGAATCCAACAAAAAACGTCCTTGTTTCAAATTAGCTGCATTTCAAATAAGTAAACATAGTGTACGTATACCTTTATTATTACACACGCAACGTTCAAAGATCACCAATTTAAGTAATTAAGCGACTTGACAGATATTTTGGAATCTCCACAAAATTTTAACGCCCAATAAAACTTTTAATTACTCTGCATAAAAACGAAAATTTCTCTGGGTTATAAATACGCGATTGCAAAATTTTTGGCACCGACTGTAACATTTGGATCAATATAACAAAAAAGACAAAAATAAATAGGATATGATGTCACATCTAAACAATATCAATGAGAACACCCACGTTTAATTATGTCATGATGATTTTTTTTTCTTAATGCAACTGCAGAACGTGACAATTTACGTTTCATACACGTTGTTAGGCGAAAAAAGGATGTTTATTACATATTGCAAATGCTAGTGAACTGAAGAATAAACCCGACACCGAACATGTGGATAACAGAGATTCCTTTATGTGGTTTTAAAACAATTCCGTTTAAGATTGATTTCATGATCTTGTATTTTTTTCGTGGTTATTTTCGTACAGCTGCTACCGATTCAAAATCTGGAGAGAATTGTGGGTGCAACAGATGTGAGGGGATTACACAACCCTCTTCGGCATTGTATAAAATCAAATAAAAGAATGGTCGTGGCGACATAAAGCCTTCAATCGATGAAGTTTTATTGATCGACAATGGCAGACCACTGTTTATAAATTAATTTAAAGACTTTCATGGATCATAATTCATAATATGCTCTAATTTTCCCATGATAAGGGGTGGCAGGGTTTGCGATTCTATTTATAGTCACGCATGTTATTTGTTAGTAAAAAAAGATTGCTTTGAAAGCAGATTTTAAGTAATTGCCTTATTAGTTCATTAAACTCTCGTAATTTGAGAGTTTGACTCTTGCATTATTGACATTGTTGAATTACAACAGATGCAAGCAAATGTTCAGCTAATTACGAAATCTAATTGACGATTGTTCCACCTTCTTGACGAAGAAATTAAAATTTTTATTATTAAAAGAACATTTAATTTTTATTAGAAACAAATCAGTTACGCAAAAAAAAATCCTTAGAAATTTGTTAAAAATATACAAAGTGTCCCAGCAGTCGCAGGGAAACATGCCAAAGAAGATAACATAGCAGGAAAAAATGTGTAAAAAGTTCTGTCAAAAATGTTGATACCTATATGTTTTTTCATAATTATTCAATTTAGGTACAAAAATTTTGCCAATAAAAGCCACGCATAAACATCTTATTTACAATTCAGGATATAGTTTCTTTGGTTCCTCTTTTAAAAGGATGCAGCAAAAAAACATGGAAAATTGTTTTTCCAACAGAAATAAATAGGGTCAAAGGGCAAAATTTAAACCCACATAATTTTGTTCTTATAGTTAGAATTTTTTTAACATTTTTTGTAGGTTCCTAGTAGGTATCTTATCTTTTCCCTGGTCTGCAACTTCTGGGACAACCGGTATAACATGTATGTAGTAACACATCATAACATCAATAATAAACGTTCTAAAAAATATTTTGAGTTTTTGTCTCTTCTTTTTTAAAATTTTGGCAAAGATTCTAAAACTTTATAAGGATTTTTGACTTGTTTGCGTTTTGAAATTTTCATTAAAAATCCATCTTCACAGAAAATTCAGCCCAATAGAGGGTAATAATTTGTTAATAACATTTGCACCATTTATTATTTTTCATTATTGTTGGAACATTTTTAATTCATTAATGTTTTATAAAAAAAATACTGAGTAACACAGTAATATCTTAAATCCGTAATTTTTGTCACACATTATACCAGGTGAAGAGAAAGTATGGAACCAAAGGTTGTTTGCTTAAACTATTTATTTTTTGAAAAAATTCATTGATGACTGATAAATAGGTACTATGTATAAAAATGTAACGTTTCTCAAGAATAAAATGTTTCGAATTTTGTTTTAATTTTTGAGTATTGCCAATTTTTTTATTTTTTCTAATAACTAACCCACTGTAAAACTTAAAAAAAGGCTACAACCTAAGCATTACGACTACCTGCACTTTACTATATTTTTGTAGAAAAAAATTCATTTTGAAAAAAAATATTATCAAAACACAATCATATCTTTTATAGCATTTTAATTTTTATTAATTATTATTTTCTAAAGGCGAATGATTTAAAAAGAGAACGCTTGGTTCCACACTTTTTGTTCAACGTTGTATATTTTTTCAAATATCTAGTTTGATAATTTCATTCCTCTGATAAAATTTTCTTTTTGTAATTTGCCTTTATTTTGTTTCTCTAAACCAATAAAATAAAAAATTTAAACATGTACCTAATTTAAAACGACATAATTAATTTTACATTTTTATGTAAAATCAAACATTTCAAAAATTAACGACTTATTTATGAGTAAAGTTTTAAGAGCAAAAAAGTTTTAAAAAATACAATTTTAGATTCAAATTTTTTTTTTAATTATGCTGACAATGTAACTAGATTTTTTCTTTAACTTGTTCATTCATAATAATTATTGAAGATTATGATTTAAAAAAAAGAATGATTTTTTGACAGCTAAATATAAGACTAAAATTTAAAAATGTAATTCAGCGTGTCCCCCTCATATTCGCAAAATTTTCTGCTTCACCCTGTAGATATAGTAACTTTTAAAAAAAAAACAACGGTGAAACTATGACAGAAGTGTTTTTAGTAAAAACAGAGTAAAGTGAAAATGCCAAGAAAATTATTTTGAGATGAACATTAAAATAGAAACAATAAAACAATAAAGTGATTATTTGTTAAAAATATAGTGTTGTAATTCTGAATTTTCTTCGAAAGCACGAATTTCCCATTTCAAATATCCGTCCCAGTTTTCTTTCTCGAAAACACGTGGGAATTCAAAATCCAAACCACAGAGTTCCGCTCATAAAAACTCCCCAAAACCCCATACAAAAATAAACAGAGCATCCCTCTCCAAACATTGTAACTCTTTCAATGCATTTCCATCATTCTAAAGACAAAAAAAATTTCAATTGAACGCCGTATATACTCGTGCTTATCTATTTGAGCTTACGTACGCGCAATCCAATCCTTTAGTCACCGCAGACCCGGTATACCGCGAACATCGATAGTCGATAACAATAAATGTTCACGTCGGTGGGATTTTGTTCATAATCAGTTTATCACAGTGACGCGTTCTGATAACATTGTGTTCAAAAAAAAAAACTTTTCCAAAACGCAATAGGTGTGTAAAATAGTGTTCTTGGCGTTAACCATAAAGTAAGGAAAAAATTGAGTTAAGTACAAAGATCCAACACCTGCTTTAATTGTGTCACGACTTTTCTAACACGAAGTGTAATCTTATCAACGACAAATAAAACTTGTGTAAGCCTGACACATTTCATTGTACCCAAAATTTTCGCCAAATGTGGCTCCAATTTAATTAAATTAATTGTCGAGTGTAAGTAATTTCAATTATTTAAATGAAGCTTCCTCTTTAAGAGGTTGTCTTAATTTCATACAGACTCAAGACTCAAGCACTCACTATTGCGGTGTCATGTTTAATTTAGTGTATCATTAAATAAATACGAGCCGATCTTTGTGTTTTTAACCGTTAAAATCATTTTCAGATAGCCTTTGTGAATTTCGCAATGAGAAAAATGATCCTTCCGAGAAAAAAATGAAGACATCGGAAACGGGAGCAGTCGTTTCGTTAATATTTATTTTATCATCTCAATGTTCCGCAATTCTAACCGGAAATTATGAACACATCACCGATAATCCGGTGTTTGGTTGTAGATGGATAGGTGGAATCAGTCCAGGAGTTGTTTGTGTGTGTCGGGACGATGTAGAGGTAATAATTTAATTTTTCTTAACACTGTTCAAATAATGAATGAATCATGGTGACCAGGGCCGGCCAAATACAACAAACTTTTTACCAATATTTATTTTAGACTAGGTGTACAATGTTTAAATGTCATCATTGAATTTTTAGCATCTGTGTGGGCGGAATTGTGTACAAGGAATTATTTGCGCACTAATTTATCAGTATTTTACTGAAATCAATTAAAAATTTATCAGCGAATATACCGGGTATAAATGAATTAAAATAGTATATTAAAAAAAAACTGTACAAACACTCTCATTGTGATACGATCCACGCAGTGGCGAGTGTTATAAATGCACGAAAGTCACAATGGAAGGTTGTAATACGCGTTTTTTATATTATTTTTTCTATTGAGAGCTTTTTAAATTGAATTCATTATTATAAATGTGGACTTTAGATTTTAAAAGTGAGCGTAGGATATTTTTTAAATTAGTGCTTCAACGAAAATAGTATGATAGTTTCATTAAAAAATATGTATTACTTTACTTAAAAACACATCGAAATAGGCTCTGAAATATGATTGTATATTTTTTCATGAAATAAGCAAAGATGCAATACGGATATTTTTCTCCAGTTAAAATAAAAAAAAATTAAACTATAACAACAAACTGGACATATTATCCATTTCAAAAGATACTGGATGGTTCCGTTTTTACCGGCGACCATTCAGGAAATGTTAGAACACGTCAAAATAATATGTGTTTGACCTATAAACAAAACAATTGTTCCTTACCAACGATAAATGGCGCCAAATTTTGAAATTTTCTTAATACATACATATCTCCTATACGGAGAGAGCAACCTCTAAATTTTGCAAACATACTGGATGAATGATGACCATTATTTTGTATCGATTTCGGCGCTATCGGTATATCTGAATTTTCGACGGTAAAAAGGGAACCATGAATTATCCTGTATATTAAGCGTGGAGGGGAGAAAGACGCGTAGTTTTTGAATGTGACGCGATTTAAATGAAAAAATACAGTCTCAGAAATAACTGAAAAGAAGGCAATCTAAAATGAGTCAAGTTATAAGAATTCATCTCTTGAAACATTCGAAAAAATATATATACGGTGAACAAAAAATGACGGATAAGCTCGTTGGTTTCTTATGGTATATTCTCTAAAAAATAAAAAAAAATATCTTAAAAAATCCTGTAAACCGAAGTTTAGAAACTAATAAGCTTCAAAGTTGACGAATAAATTTTATAATTCTGGTCTATGTTAATTTGTTACCTTTTCTAAAACATAATGAATTATTTCATTGTTAACAACAATAAAAGTTTATTTGTGAACGACTTGGACAAGTAATTTTTTATTTAAAAAAGTTAGGTGTAATTTACTTAAAATTATCGGATAGGAATTATTTTAATATAAATTATTTTTCCTTTGTTTCTTGGAAAACAGAAATAACCTTATGTTCGCTATTTTCATTATTTTTGCTGCTACATTACAACGTTGCTAGCTTAGTAAAATTCATAATTCATCATAGCTCAAAAAATAAGACAGGAGATTTTTTTAACATTTTTTACGGACTCTCCAAAGCTATTCCAAGAATGCATCATCGATGTTATCTCATTTTTTGATCACCGTGTAAGTAGTTAATTTATTTTTGAATCAAAAATAATGGAAGATCTTATCGAGAAATGTCTACTATTTTTGCACGCATAATTTTGTCATCTTCAGTTACAACAGTATTTGCAAAACTTAACGCACCTTTTTAGTCCACTGTGTTCGAATGAAAAAAAATGGTATTTAAAATACAATTTTGAAAAACGTTATTTTTACTAAGAAAAACTTATTTTTGGGACAGCCTGTATTTTTTTAAATAAAAAAAAAATAGTAAAACTATTTAGGATTTGTAATATTATAATATGCATAAATAAATTCCGGTTTTATTAAAAATAATATATTTATTATTCATAAAGGAAATTACTTTTGTTTCATATAACGAATAATTTAATAGTTTTTCTTTTTAATAAGTATTTATTTCTCATTTATTGAAATTTAAAGTTTGCTTCATTTAAAAATTTTCTTAAAAGTCGCAAATCGGTCTCTTATCTCTGACAGTAAAAGCAAAATTTTTGTTTACTTTTTTTCATTTTTTTCTTTCAAAACATCAAACACACATTATTCCTTCACTATATCAAAGCGACATTAAGAGTTTTTAGACAAAGATAGATTAATACAAATTTTCATTTTAAACAAAAAGAGAAAAAATGTCAAACCTGGGCAGAGTAAAATCAATTAGACGCTTTTATTATTGAATTAATCCCAAATCGAGATGAAAAGTTCTTCCAACTTTTCCACCCTTTGATATATCATAAACACATTCGTTGCTGTCAAAACCAGATGTTTCCACCAATTTTCATTAGTGAAACAAAGAGATAAAAGAACATATTAGAGTTAAATTTAGAGATTTCAACTTGAGATTGAAATAAATTATTTTTATTTTTTTAAATGGCTTTGCAGTTTTAACCACAATTTACATAAAAGATTCACCAACATAGTAATGTCATAATTACAATTAAAAAAATATTTTTGTATTTTCTCAATCAATACTGGTAATTTTAAGTGGCAAAAAACACAATTTTGATGTAATTACAATTGTCACAAAGTTTATTATATAGGGTGATTAAAAAATGTCGGACCAAGAACATCCAACTGAGTTAAAAGTTCCTATGATAAAAAAATTGTTCATCAATTTGTGCCTACATAAAAATATGAAAATTGACAGTTGTTTTTTTTTTCTCAAAAAAAGCTTGAAAGAAAAATCTGAATTCATTTTTATGCTTAGCTGAAAGTGTTCTACCACCATTCGAGAGTTGGTCCGACATTTTTGAATCACCCTGTAGGTTGCTTTGTTCCTTTAATAAATGTTTTTTTGTAATAATCTTCCCTATATTTTTTTCTAAAAATTCTTATTGCAATATGTTAAGCAAACAACCTTCACGTGTCGCTCTATTATCACGCATCAAATTAAAATTAGGTCAAGCCGAACTAAACATTGCCACGACCCATATAATGATCAATCAATTCTCTATCTAAATCCTAAACAACTTTGTTCTAGGAAATGTACATCACAAAAAAATCCATCTCGAGTTACGACACCTCCAGCATCGAAATCCAATGCAAATCGGTGCGTTTCGGTCCCGAATCCATTTCCGAAATGCGTAATCTCCGCAACATCAAATTAAAGTCGATCCAAACTTTAAATTTCGACGAACACAGCTTAAAATGGTACGGATACCGAGACGTCGATCACCATGACGAACCCTACGACATTAGCACTCCCTCGCTACAAATCGAAATCGAAAATTCGACCATCGGGACGATTTCTTCGTACACCTTCGAAGGCCGGATAAATAAAATCCGATTCGATGGAGTGACCGTCGAGAATTTATCACCGTTCGCTTTTAATTCCCTCAGACAGACACAAGAAATCGTTTTACGAAACGTCGAATTGCAAAACGCACGGGAGCAAGCCTTCAAGAAATTTTCAACGGAAAATTTCGAATTGAATGGCGTCAAATCCCCGATTATTACTAGTCGTTTCCTCTTCAATGTCACAGTTTACAACAGTTTCAAAATCACAAACTGTGATTTTGACACGGTTCGTCCGGGGGGTTTCATCGTTTTCAATCCCCGGAGTTTCCAAGTTACCGACACGAAAATCAACCACTTGGATGCCGAAGCCTTTAAAGTGACCACACGAGGGGACATCCTCTTCCGGAGCAATACATTCAATGTAATTAACGACGGTGCGTTCCTCGGAATCGATCTCAACTCCGACGAAACAGTGCTAGAAGCCACAATTTCGTTCGACTCCAACGTTTTCACCAAATTAACTCGTGATTCTTTGACTGTTAATGAGAATTTCCGGTCGAAATTCTCCAATTTGTACATCAACGAATCCTGCGATTGCAAAAGCATCGACCACAACATCAAAGACACTGAATTCTACTCGGAAATCAAGTGTTTGCACGAGAACGAATTTGTTACCGTCAAGGAATTTAAAACCAACAAGTGTTCGATTATTCAGAGTTACTCCACTGTTATCGTCATTGTCGTTGTGGTTTTCACCCTCTGTTTGATTATCGGGACTGTGCTCGTAATGTATTATCGTAGAGTGTATTTGAGTAAGAAATACGGTAGTGAAAAAGGCACCAAAAAGGGCAATTTGAGTATGATTGTTCCGGATGGAAGGACTTATCGAGAAACGGAACTTCATGTGATAGTGGAACGAGCTGATCTCTTGACCACCGATTTATAATAGTCTTTGCACAGTATTGTTTTTCTTCGACTGATACTAGCTAGGTTTTTATTTAATTTATTTTAGTATGAAATGCTTCATAAACGTGTATGTACATAAAAATTGTATAAACATTGACTCAGTTACCGATAATAAAAGCAGTAAACGAGGCAGCTGATTCATTTTTAAATCTCCAACAACGTTGGGTAAAATGCAAATAATAAAAATTACGTTTTACCATTTTTACCAATAATTTTCATTATTTTTGAGAATATCTTGGTTGACTCTTGATATCGACCAACTCAAAAATAAAAAATAGTGGAAGATAAACACAAGATTTTTTTTATTAACCTCACGATATTGAAATTTCATTCTCCTTGTCAAAATCATCAGTTCTACAAGTCAATAACTCTAATTTTTATAAATTTTATACAGGCTGCGCCAGAACTCGCGCCCCAGAGAAAATTTTCCAGTAAGGTAAGATACCAGGAACATGGGAAAATTTGTTTAAAAAATTGACATTTATTTTTTGACATTTGACATTTCTTTATGTCTATTTAATGATATTGATGATCTTGTATATGTTTTTTTACAATTATTTAGTAAAGGGACAAAAATTTTGCGAATAAAAGCCACAAATAACATTGAAGAGAGTTACAATTTAGGATCAGCTTCCTTGTTTCCACTTTTAATAGCCTATAGCAAAAAAACTTGGAAAATTATTTTTCCACAAAAATAAATAGAGAAAGTGCAAACTTTAAACCCTCGTAATTTCGAAATTTTTATAGATAATTTATTTTTATATTTTTTCCATGTTTCTGGTATCTTACCGTATATGGCATTTTTCTCTGGGGCGCGAGTTCTGGCGCACCCTGTATACTCGAACATTATTAGAGAACACATAATAATAAATGCCACATATTATTTTGGTGGAAAACAGACCAAAACACATTTCAAATGAAGAAAAAAATCCCACTAAGATATTACCTTATGTTCGAAACGGTTTTTTTGATAGCAATAAAAATGTTCATTACGCACGTGGTAGAATATTTGTTTAAAAAAAATAAATGTCAAATTAGTCGTAAATAAAAAAATAAGCAATTACGCATATTTTTTAAAATCTTAGAAAATTCATATAAAATTATGTTTTAACTAGGTTGTCTCAAAATATCAGAAGGAATATTTTGAAAATAGCCTTATTTTTTTAATTGTACTGTGCTTGTGAAACAGACGTTTTTATACATATTTTTTAGCAACAACCGTATCAAAAAAAAATTAGACAATTCTAGTGGCCTTTATATTTTGTAATTACGGATTCTGTCAACAACTGCCGTGAGATCACAAATTATCTTGGTCTAGGTTGGTCATGGAATGGAAAACGTCTGTCGTTGCTTATATCATTCTTTTGAAATAATTCTGTCAATGTTTTTTTTAAACTGGCTTGGACAATTTAAATTTTTTATTAGACAACCAAAATTTTTTTTTGACATTACCTACGACAATTATTTTAAAATCCATAACCATCCTTGACCAAGATAATTTTTGATCTCACGGTAGTCTCGTTTTTCAGAAATAAGATCTTTTTACGTACCTATATCAAGAGTATTGCGAAATTTTTTATGAACGTATGTCTTGAATAGTGACATCAATACCTATCAGTTACACCGCTATGCAATTTGTAACTTTTTAAAAGTTATTATGAATTTTTTTAAGTGATATGAAAAATATAGGTAATTAGATCGCAGTTCTACTTATTGTTGAATTTTTTTTATCAAGTTAAATAAAAAAAAACAAATAAAATAAAAAATAATAAAAATGAAATAAAAAATATTTTATAATTGTTTTTTCGTAGCACACCTTCTACAGATATAACAAAACAAATTGGGATCGATTTTATACGATCTATCTGACACTTGATATAATTAAAGATACCTTCAAATTAAATCCAATTTTGTTATACACGAAATTGAGAGATTACTGAATAAAACAGATTTATTGATTCAAGACTCACTATGCCATTCAAATTTATCAAAAATACTCACTCAATCAACTCATATCACGCCGATCGGTGTTATCTATCAGATTTATCAGTTCCTGAACACCTCTCTTGAGTAGAATATTGACCCTTTTGTTCTAGAATAGTGTAAAAATCAGCTTTAACATTTTCCTGAACATCATTAATGTTCTACCTACTCTCTGTAATATATCCTACATGTTTTGACATTTCATTAAATGTAATAATCTATGCAAAACATCTTTTATAAACAGCTTCTTTATAAAAAAGTCTAAAACTTAGAGTAATTTAAAAATGTAATTCCCAAACCAACTTAAAAAACTTTCAGACTCGAACCAAGCTACACATTTTTTGATTTGAAATTAATTCCTTTTTGGCTTGTTAGTCAAAGTGCGTTGCTATTATAATCACCTCCCATCCAAGTCATATCATTTATTTATAGAACCTTCCTATTTTGTGCTAATTCAAACAGTAAACAAACACTCACCTATACGGCAACATTCCATCCAATGCCTGATTTACAGTTGGAGGACTACTCAAGGCCAGACCTTTCGACAACAACGGCCCATGAACGGTTAACGTTTGCGACGCCACTGCTTCCGCCATCTCTACATCAACATCCCCTTCGTCTACAAAACCCGAGTTATAACAAAACACCAAAAAACAACAAACCAATCCCACCTCCCATCGTGGGCAATTGCAAATCCTTTTTCATCATACTGGCCGCACACATCCCTCCCAAAAACGCCAATTCTGCCTCCAAATGTTTCAACCCCAAAATAGTACTCCCGTTCCCGGCAGGGGGCCACTCGTATCCCACTACCAAACATTTGAAACCATACGAACTCGACCTGTCGTCTTTCAAATAATCCGATGCTGTTTCCAACGAAAAAATTACTTCATTCCCGGGCAAAACGACCGAATTCGTGGGCCACTGCAAACTAATCAACGATTAAAAAATCTCACAATCCCATTCAAGCTCTTACCAGCTTGTGAATTTATGTAAAACGGGCCAATAGGGCAAAGGCGGCGACTCGGAATCGTCCATGTCGTAAGTTTTGCTAGTTTTGAGAGAAAAGTCGAGCGAAGGGACATATAATTGTAACGAATCTTCGGGTTGAGCGGTGGAGCAAGCCGGGTCGAACTCTAAAGTCATCCATTTGACGCTATCCGGGAAAATTACCCTGTAAAAAACGATTTATTGGAGTTTCACATTACAGGAAACTGTATTACCGGTAATTTGAAACCGTCGCTGGTTTGTATGGATGATCACCCTCAACCCACGTATAGTGATGACTAGTAGTGTTAGTCCTATAGTCGATACTATCTTGAGTACTTGACGTCACAAGTGACTTAGTAGTGACGGGAGTGGAACCTCCTAATAAATTTAAAGCCGAGACATGTGGGAGTATTTCTTGAATCAGGGTTAGTATATGCACAGCACTCTACAATCAAAATTGATTATTAGTACCAACACGTGTGTTATCTACCTACTCGTGGATCACTAGTGGCCAAGGGACTTATATGAGCCAAAACCAGTGGTAGCAAAGTCGTAACCATATAAGAATTACTTAAAATTTCAGCAGAAGAAATCTCTTCGGCTTTTTCACGCGCCGTAGCCATCAAATCACAAGCATTGTGTATTATCGCACTAGCCATTGATAGAGCAGCTTTCCGAGCTTGTTGCTCTAATTTCGTCGTTGATGTTTTAGCACACTCCACCGGATTACTAAAACGGATTTTATGACTACTTAGAGAAAAAAAAACAATATACAATTCATATACCTATAGTACAAAATGACCGGTATTTGCCCCCTTGTAAGTGTCGTGCCGTTAAAACTCAACGAACAAGTGGAAAATGTAAAAGTCGTGTTATCTGAACCTTTCACCGAATTCAATCCTCCATCACCATTGTTAGTTCTACCACCGTGATTCCGCAATCTTATAGCATATTTTATATTTTCCTGCACAAACTAGATTAAGAGCCTACGAAACCACCAAATACTCACCTTGATGGGAACGGCTCTGTCGAACTTAATTTCGATTATATCGGGGGCGAAGTCTTCCGGCACGAAAGACCCTCTTGTGATTTCCAAACTGTTCCAACGCTGGGTGTGGGTGTGGCTCTCGGAACCGCTCAAAGAACTTTGCTAAATAATAAAATAAAATAACAAAATAAAAAAGGGTTTTTGTTGTTTAAACGGAAATACCAAACAGTCGTAACATTAGTACCCACATGCAAATTCAAGCTCTTTGATTGATTTTGAAAAAATCTCATTAAAAATCATTAAAAAAATTGAAAAATAACAGTTGAAAAGGAAACACAAAAATGTAAATAAACCGGTTTTTTAAAAAATTGTCAAATAATGCGTCAAAGTATCACAATTTGTAATCAAGTCATCTTTGAATCCGAAAACGTATGTGTGTTTTTGAACTACACCTAAAACGTTAAATAAAATTCCAAAAACGACTTTATTATCAAAATTAAGAGAACTTTCAACAAAGAATACTGAAAAATCTCATGTTTATGTGGAGGCCCACAAAAAATTGGCGACTGGGCTGGAATTAGTCATCGACGTTCGTTCTTGTTTATAAATGTGGTTATTAAAAATCATCATTTTTTAATCATGCTTCAGGTAGATCAACAAGAGATTTTGGAACTTTTCATAAATGAACTTTATGATGAATTGGTGTTTGGCTATTTTCAACAAGATGTGATACATTCAGCTAGGACCACAATAAATATGTTACGATAGTTTTTTGATAATAGACTTATTAGTCGAGATACAGAAAATATCTTGCCTCCGAGATCCTGTGACCTTACTCCTACAGACTTTTGTATGGCCTTATTTAAAAAAATTACAAATTACAAATTTACAAATATTAAGGTTAAGAATAACTGAAAAAAATTAATGAAATTAATGATAATCCACATATAGAGCGAAATGTGATAGATGGAGTTAGACGAAAGACGCTTTTGTGCTTACAAAAAAATAGAGAACATTTTCAGCATTTATTGCAACCGCTATTGAATAATGTAAATAAATGTACACTCGCTAATTTTGAAATTATCATGCCAATAAACAGAGCCCAGCATATCTTTTATTTTTGTTGAAACTTCTATTTTTTCTTCTTTTTTTTTTCTAAGTTTTTTGTCATTTTACCTTTCGACTTGTCATTTTATTTGACGTTTCACGTGCAGTTCAAAAACAGACATACGTTTTCGGAACCAAAGATGACTCTATTACAAATTATCTTGATCTCTCTCAAAAAAAATAAGTAAGACTAAATAAATTCTAACAACAAACATTTTATTATCGACACGTGTTACTCCAGACAAGTTGGCGTCATCACAAAAAGGAAGGTGGTTCACTGTCAAAAAATTCAAAGTAAAAACCAATGTTTATAAAATATTTAAGTCCAAAATACGCAGTAAACAAATTATTCATACAGTAAATATAAAAAATACAAAATCGGAAAGAACCAAAGACACTTTTGTGTAAAATATTCGTTGCTAAAACCAGTGGCGGTTCGTGACTTTTAGACAGGTGATATACAGGCTGTTCCGTTTTTATTGTTACAAACTTAAACAGGTGATAGAATATTTAATTTTAAGACAAAAGTTTCCTATGAACATGTATCAAAAAATGTTACGTAGGCGAGCTACGCCCCTTGAAAGATGCGTTTTTAATGGAGTTTTCCCACTATTGCAGAATAGATAGATAGAGTTGGTACAGCTGATTACTTTTAAACACCTGAACGAATTTAAAGATCAGTTATCGAAAGTTTTAATCACGGGTCTCTTAAACGGTGAAACAAATTTAACTTTTAATTTTTATCCTTTTTATGGTCTGCAAGACAAATTGTAAACTGACTTTACTCAAAAACGGTAAGTTTTATCGAAAAAACGCAAGAGACCTCTTTTTTGTGAAATTTAGAATTTTGTAGCTGAAAGTGGCAAAAATCAACCGCCAAAATAGTTACAGTACTTTTTAGTAAAAATTTTAACATTTTATCTTTGAATTCATTTGGCTGTATAAAGGTTATCAGTTGTACCAAATTTCGTAATTTTATCCACCATAGTTTCTGAAATATTAAAAGATGCACCCCATTCAGGGGATGTGGCTCCCTTATATAAAATTTTTCGATATATGTTTATAGGAAACTTTTATCTTAGAATTGAATATTCTATCACCTGGTTAAATTTGTAACAATAAAAATTAAACACCTGTATAACGAGTCTTTATTAAAATTTGGCGTCATAGTTGGAAGTGACTATGAGTATGTTGTAAACAAACCCTAATTTTTAATACGCTCAGTGAGATGTCAATGTCAGATTAATAACTTTCAAGAAGATGGTCCGGTTACAATCAAACTTTTGCAGATAACTTTGACGTCAATTAAAAAAAACCGTCACAAATAATGCATGGAAAACAATACAACAAATTCAACACTTCACACCAACATATCCAATTATTTCGGACTCTTGAAAAATGTCCTGTTTTGAGATTTTCTTTCACTAATCTATGTTAAATTTAAATAAGGCATTGGCCTCCCTAAATCCTTAATTTTTATTTTGTCTTCTAGAGGAAATCTGTAAAAATCTGTTTTTATTAAAATACTTACACTATTTGCACTTCCGCTCATTGTCAATTACAATAAACATAAATTAAAACTTTAATGAAAACTGTAAGTGCTTTGTCAAATCGGTCAAAAATCGCGAAATCCAACTATTTTTTTTGCGCAAGCGTAAATGTCATTCTAATTTCAAAAAAAACAAATTAATAAAATCACTAATTACTCCGCGCTTCTTTTAAAATACGCAGAGCTGTCATTTTTATCTCCACTTAAATCTAAAGCACCCCCTCGCCCATACTCTCGTGTTGCCAATGCGCCTATCTCACTTTCATACCCGTCTTGATACAGTGGTGAGCACATGAGGAACATTTGAATTTTTTGATTGGCTAGCAGAAGCGTAGAGCTGAACTATAAATACGTTGTCATGACAACCAGGGCCGCGGAATGGTTTGCGTCCTATTTGCGCTGTACCATCGAAATAACTTCATTCCTGGGTTTATAAAAAATAAATGGGTTTCTTGGGCGTTTTTACTCAAAATTACAAAGTTTCTAATTAAACTTTTATAATAAAATAAATCACTCTAAACTAAATAAAACGTTCTTTATGGTTTCTTGTGCAGGATGGGCGCGCTGCAAAGCGGCCTTAAGAGAAACCGCCACTGGCTAAAACATGATTAAACAAAATAAAATATGAACAAAATAATTTTATCCTAAAAATTTTATTGCTAAAATGTTCAAAAACAAAAAGTGAGTAACAGGTTCACACTTCCAGACTCAGTTTTGAGACATTAGCAAGGGCCCCTGCGCAAGAATAATTAGCAAGGGCTGGAAGCAGTGCGCACATCGTGATCAGTCAGTTTGATGCGCAGACGTTCACGTCTTCGCCACTCCTTGCACAGCTGTGCTCCTGATACCAGGATTTTGTTTTTGAATGCTTTGCGATATTCCCGTTTTGCTTGGAGATATTGTGCTTGAAAATATTTTGTCCAGTTTTAGTTTAGCGGTGCGTACTTTTTTATTAATGAACATTTCTTAATTTAAACCTTTTATTAAGAGGAGTTTTCAATTAAATTTTTTAAAAATATTTGGTTTTATGTTTGAACATTTTAACAAAAATACAATTTATTTACAAACTTTTTGCGATCACACGATCTCCCATTCAAACTATGTATGTCATATGTAAAGAGGACAAATCTAGAAAGCTATATTTTTTACTGTTTTTACATTCCCTTATCTTTCTGGTAATTATGTATAAAAAAATGTTATACATGTCATTTCTGGAAAAAAAATTAAAGTTATTTCAAAAAATTAAAATTTTTCATGTTTTCATCCAATGCTGTAAAAAATTTAAAACAATTGCTCAAATTGCCATCACCAGTCTCATTTCCAAGCGAATTTTTTCTCTTAGTTCTTTTAAGGTATTCGGCCTGTTAAAATAAACCCTTGAGTTTAGGTAACCTCAGAAATAATAACGATTTAAAAATATTTATTCAGCAAAAAATAACCATTTGCAGACATGAAATATGTTACTGAGGCTTCAAAAATAATAAATTTTTACTGTTATTCAATTGCAATGCCATTAGACAACGTTGCCACAATATTTTTTTTGAATATGTTTTTACCAAAAACTTTAATAAATATAATTTTGTAATTATTTTCATGTTAACATGTACAATTGTCTTTTCCACCTTTCATTGAGTTGGTGCGCCACTTTTTAAGCGCCATGTATAATATTAACAAAACATTATGGTCTTTGGTTTCATAGATGGCTTCTTTCTGAATTATCTTCGTATATAAATATTTCTTTAAGTTCCACAAAAATTTAAAAACAAGATAATGTCTTATTTTGTTTAAATAAAAAACAGACTTACGTCTTCTAATAATTCCAGTTCGTATTCATAATGGCCAATCCCCCCATACACTCCGACTCCGGCGATAGAAATTCCGGGCCGATCCACCTGGAAACAAATCGCGTCCGGAGACCCGTTTCCGGTATTCCAAGTCCGCGATTGGTTGGTCCGTGTGAACCTTGAAGTGGTCATGTGTAAAATGCGCCCGCATGCGTTTTGCAAATCCTCCTAGAAATTTAATTTAATTTCAAATTAATTTTCGATTGTTTCACATACATCTGTAGCACTGCATTGGTGAACCAACTCGGCTACGACTCGTGCTAATAAATGGCAACAGTGTCGCGTCAGGCCGGGCAAACACAAAGTTTTGCTATTTTTCAAAGTTTGGTTTATCGGTTCTGAAACGATTTGTAATAATCGATCGAGGACGTCCTTCCATTGCCATAGAGGCCCCAGATAACAGTCCATCTGACTCTTGTAACTCATTTGTTCGACCAAAATCGGGTAATGATGAGAGTCTGAAATGCTCATCATTGGTAGTCCGGTATTGTCTGAGGGACTCAGCCCCCGGTGAAGCGAACTGTCAGAGCCTATGGTACTCCCCAGTAGTGGAAAAGTGCTTCTAAGTCGGACACTGGGGGCGCAGAGGGCGCACAAAACAGCACTTAACAAGCGTTGGCTATTAAAAGGTGACGATCGGTTAGATTCCTACAATTACTTCATCAAACATTTTTTATTAAATAATGAATAAATACTTTATCAATTTCTGAAAGCAGGTCACAAAGACAATTCCACTTTAAATATGCTGTTGGGTAAAAGGCGTGGAAACAAGCGACAAACGTATTATGACACTCCTCCAAAATGCTATTCATCATAACAAAATTTTGGCTGTAATTTTTCCCCTTGCTCGACTTTTTATTCATGAGGGCCGGCAAATTATCTGATAATATCTGTTTCAAAAGAGTCCTTACATCGCCGATACTTTCGGCCAGTTGTACGTTTTCTAAAGGAATTTTCTTGATAATTTGATTCGGATAAATCTCATTCGTATAAGTGTGAATTAGTCTCAAACTCGCCCTACTTATATAAACCAAGCGTTCCAATTCAATATTAGTGTACATATTTTTGATCGATTGTCCTTCAACAACTCCCCATTTGAAAGTATTCCACGACCATTGTAACAAAGAAAGAAGGCTTTGGAAACATTCTTTTGTCACAGTCCTTGAAAAATCCTTCGACAGGATATGAACGGGCTCTGCAATATCGACATGTCTCGGCGGCGAGTGATTCTCAGGTGTTATCACTTTGTACAACAATTGAGGTATTTGACCAGCATTGACATCAGTACCATTGTTAGACTTCTTCGAGGATTTGAAGTAGAACAAAACTTGGTCTTCGGTGGTTACCATGGCTTGACCTGAGGAGCCACAATCGCTGCTAGGACCACTTATACGACACCAAGCGACGTACCAACGATGCGCCTGGAAATTCCCCTAGAAATAAAACAAACCACCAAAAAATTGTAACTAACTTGTAATTGAATTGGTTCGTCGAATAACAACGGATATTTCTGTCTCGGACCACACTCGTAGGGCACCTCTTCGGTCTCGGCTAGTAATTCACCATCACCTTCCTGTTCACCCCCATCAGGGCCGATATCCAACAATTTCAACTTGGCCGTGTACTCGCCACGACCCCCAAACAAACCAAACCCGCCTATTGGTCACAACGTTACAAAACAACCAATAGAAAACAAGCACTCACCTAGTAGGATATCAGTGTCGGCCATGAATCTAATCGCTTCAATACTATGTCCGGAGTATCCCCACCCCCCACCGTGATTCTCAAACCGGTTAACACTTTGAAAATCCTCTTTTGAGTATTGTTTCCCTGACACTAACTGGCGATCGTCTATTTCTTCCTTAACCGCTGCCATTTGCAAATCATGTGCTGCAGTTAGCGTATCCAGACAACACAACAAGTTAATAGCGGCTTGAAACCGCGTCACGTGACAGTTGGTTATAACCGGTAAAGACAATTCGGGTGAAAGAATCGCCGCTAAATCCAAATCATCAGGAAGTTCAGTCACACTGTCGTTCAACGTCTTCACATGAAATAAAAATTTATTATCAAAGGTTTTAACCGAGTTTCGCGTTTGCAATTCGGTTGCGATAATGTTGTAGCAGGTGATTTCGTGGTTGAGCGGGTTGTAGGACCACAGAATGTTATAAATCGGGTCCATACAGACGATTTTGTTGCAGAAATCGACCTGTTCGGGGCCTTTGAACGAGTTACAATTCCCATCTCTTTTGTTTATAACCAAACATTTGAAACTTTTTGCTGTCTCTTCGTGACTCGGCAAGAGAACAATTGAGTATTTGTTAGCCGTGACGATTGATTTCGAAATACTGATTGAATTTATGAGACTTTCGTCGATTTTGAGAAAAGTCTGATCGCCTGAAGCCCCGACCCAAGTGGCTCTACGGCCGTGTTTGGGGCCTATGTTTGGAATGATGGCTGGGATGCAATACCAGGGAGTTCTGGGGTTGCTATAACGCGAGCTGGTGCTTTGCCCGGGTTGAGACGAGTCTTGAGGGGACACAGAAGGTGAATTTCGCCCTAATTGCCCTTTCTATAAACACAAAATTAATAAAAATTTGTAAAAACGGTGGTAACAAACTTGGTAGTTCCCGAAAGTGTAAACTTCTCCTTTAGATGTTAAAACAACAGTGTGGTTACTTCCAGCCGCTATGTGTATAGCACTACACGGCAATCTCACGAGTTGTATACTATTTTTCGCCAGGATGTCGCCGCAACCCAATTGACCATACAAATTCGATCCAAAACTGTAGACCTGAAAACAGCATTAGTAGTACCACCCCACTTAAATTTGTCTTGTTACTTGTCCATTTTGTAGTAATAGCACACTATGATGCAGCCCGCACGCAATTTGCACAACTGGACTATCCGAAGGAACGTGAACTTTCGCCGGTGGCAGACATGCAATTCTCGTAGCGTCACGCTCGACATCAGAGCCGGCTTGTTCCTTCACTACAACTCATACATTACATACGAAATTTTCCCTAGCACTTGTTATTACCCGTTCCGAGGATATTACACTGTCTCAGAGTATTATTACTCGACCTGTGTGTCGGAGTGGCCGAAACCGCAGGCCGTAACGATTTTATTTTCGCCGATTGTTTGCTAGGACCAGGACCAGATTTGCGGCCCCGATTTTTGCGTTCTTCTAACCGACTGTGGATTTGCTCGTGTAATTTGGTTCTTTGTCTCGGAGGGATTAGAACCTTGTCGCGGAAAATCAGGTCTAAACGCATCATTCCGGCCAAGTCGGCCAATTCGGAATTATCAACGACTTCTCGTGCACAAATTCGGCAACAACCGCAGACTGAACACCCGCTGTCGCCTTCGCCGCAACCACACTCCCTGGAAAAGTGGGATTAGAAGGGATTTTTGACCCGTTTTTTGAATATATACACGGTGGTCCAAAAGTCTGGAAACGATGTTATTCTGGCGAAACTATCAAATTTTTTGGCAAATAAATTTATAGGTGTGCAATAGCTATAAAAATGCTATTCAAAAAAAATTTTGAATATTAATTATTTGTTTATACTTACTAGATAATGGAAACGTACCACATTTTTTTTAGACAACGAGTTTGTTACAAGAATTGTTGCTGTGCAATTTTTTTTGTAAACCTCTCACTTTTTTGTTAAAAAAATGTTTGACATACAATAATTAAACAATTTTTTTGGAGTAAACTACCAGTTTTTTTGGAAATAAATTAATAAATGTTTAAAGGCTGTAAAGGAGCGATGCCAAAAAAATGTTTTAATTAATTGTTTAAAGTTTTGAGATTATGATACTAATAATTTTATTATTTTTATAATTTTTATTATTATTTTTATTTATTTATTCCTAAATAAAAACGGTTTATTATTTATTGTTTTGCAAAGTTATGTTTATGCATTTTATAAATGTGGGGAGGGTAATGTTTACGTAGGTAATAATTGCAACTATTAGTTTTTTTGTAAATACAAAATAACGCTATTTCTTTTTGAAAACAAATTATGTAAGTAATAGTTTTTTTTTAAGAAATATTAACATATTTTTTACATAAATTAAAGAAACGTGTGCTGTTGTCTCAAAAAGCGCTCCAGAGAGAAACAATTTTATTTGGAAAATAAAGCAAAATGACGACGCCATAGCAATGACATAAAAGAAGGCGTGCTTACCACTGATGCTAGGTCTTAACATACCACCCCATGGCCGGTGGAAGAAAGTTTTGACAACAGATAAAGTTTATAATTTTTTTAACGAAAATTGTAACGTTTTCAATAAATATTTTTGTACATTTATAAAATGCATAAACATATCTTTGTAAAACAATAAATAAAAAACCGTTTTTATTTAAAAAAAAAATTATTACTATGGTAATCTTAAAAGTTTAAACAATTAATTAAAATAAAAAATATTTTGGCGTTGCTCCTTTACAACCTTTAAACATTTATTAATTTATTTCCAAAAAAAATTCTTTAATTCTTGTAAGTCAAACATTTTTTTAACAAAAAAGTGTAATGTTTACAAAAAAAATTTTTGCATGGCAACAAAGCTCGTTGTCTAAAAAAAATTGTGGTAGGTTTCTATTAAAAAAAAAGTTACTATGTTTATCTCGTAAGTATAAACAATTAATTAATATTCAAATTTTTTTTGAATAGCATTTTTATAGCAATTGCACACCTATAAATTTATTTGCCAAAAAATTTAATAGTTTCGACAGAATAACATCGTTTCCAGACTTTTGGACCATGTATATTTATAGACTCACTGGCCGGGATTTCGGTCTGCGCTCATTGAGGAGAGACAACTGATGGAATATCCAGTGCATTCCCTGCAAATGGTACAAATCATGCATTTGTCGTCGTGCCAAGAGTGCATCCCAGCGGGACACATGTTTTGGTGTGGTTCTATAACGTTATCAGAGCTACCAGCGCTATTTTCCCCTTCCTTGCGATTTTCGTCGATTTCTTCATAGAGGTCGTGCTCATCTTGGGTACCACAAGTATCCATAGCGACGATATTATGGGAAGTACCCTCTTTATTCAACGAAACAAAATCACGTCCACATTGAAACTTGTTGTTAATACCAAAAGTGTATACTTGACCTTTACTCGTCAAGGCTACAGCGTGAGCCTTACCCAAAGCCACTTGTACAATAAACTCGCCTTTCAAATTACAAACCAAACCTACAATTACAGTTACCAACTGTTCTCAATAAACTACTGAAATACCTGTAGTGGCATCGACATGAGCAGTATCTTTCCCAAACATTAATAATTCGCCATCTCGGGTTACTAAAGCCGTCGTTCCGTTATTACAAGCCGCAGAAACGATAAACTGACCATCAACTTTAATCATTTTTTTGGGTTTGATGGGCTTAGGTTGCCTCCGGACCTTACTTTGGTCCCCATCTTCGCCCCTAAATCAAAACATGTTTTAGTATATTGTTCTTGTACAATTGCGTATATTTAAAAAGAAAACACAAAACTGCTTTACATCGTTAGAAATTGTTGTTTAACTTAGATTTTAAAAATAAATAAATAGATACTTATACAGGAATAATGTGTCGGACCAATTCTCAAATGATGATGGTAAATTTTCAGCTAAGCATAAAAATAAATACGAAGTTTGTTTCAAGCTTTGATTTCTGAAAACCAACAGAACTAACAATTTTCATATTGTCATGAAGACACCCTAGCTTATGATATTGTCAGATTTAATTCATTATTGAATTTCCTAGTTTATTTAATATTTTGTTAATAAGACACAAATTGGTGTTTTTTTTAATCTGTTTAATGTTGCAAGGTCTGCCGTTTTCGCTGTCTAAATTCAAAAATGCATAATCTGAACGGCCAAAACCTAAAGATCTAACCTTTGAAGATCTACGAGTATATCTTGTAAAAATAAATCAAATAATTTTTGCCAAGGAAACTTTTAATTCGAATGGATGTCTTTTATCACCACCCAAGAGTTGGTACAAGAATTTTGAATCACCCTATATAAGCTATGAGACAAAATAAGGTATTTGTTAGTGCTTTTTTGCTTCTTTATCTATTGATTTATAAATTTTTCTAGCTGCCTTAACTAATTTTTATGTATTTTTGGGCAATGAAGTCAAAAAAATATATTTATAAGAACTTCCTTAACGTACTAGTTTTTTTACAGGTTTTATAGGCGCTTCCAGGTTCATTAAAATACAAAAAACAAGCACAAATTTCGAACGGAAAGAAGTATGGAATGTGAAAGAAAATGTAAATCCACACACAATAGTTCAATAAAAACTAAATTTAAAAGAAAAAGAAGTAGAAAGAAATTTTTTATACTTATTTATACCTTCTTTGGTGGTTTCAAGCTCCCCAAGTATTCTTTCAGCTAATGTCAAAAGTTAAAACAGAATTTTCTTCAATTACAGATATTTACTATACTTTCCGTTATTTTTTTTAATTTTCCTTACCCGTAAATCCTTCATGATAAAAAAAACCGTTTTAAAATCAGCGCCCAGAATCTTAGAAAATACTGCAAAATTTGAAATTCACAAGTTGATTTTTTTTAATTTTCTTATTTAAAAAAAATACTATGATTTAGAGGTATTAAATGTTATTATTGCAGAGTTTTGAGTGATAGGCGCAGTCATTATGAGATTTCGGTTCCCGGAGAAAGCAATTTTAGATGAACAAGATTTATACGTCGCGCATTTCCAGAGGGTGTCAATTTCGAGAAAAGACACTAGTGGGGTGAGTAATTTTCACAACTGTATCAACCTTGAGGGAAACCCTTGAAGGGTTTTACCGATCTATAAAAATGTGTATGAATTTTTGACTGTTTTTAAAGGTTCTACTGAAGGATTTAGAGACAGCTTCCCGTTTCATCGTTCAAGCCTTACAGATTCGCAAACGTTACATAAATCTCTCGCACCACAGTTTCTCCGCTAGTGCGAAATTTATTGATTTATTTTAGAAACAATTTTTACAATTCTATCGAAGAATGACTCAATTTTTAGCATGAATTGTTTTAAAATATATAACTTAATAATATCTGTTTATTTTTGTTGAACATTCTGTGCATCTTAGATTATTTGAACAGCTCCAACAGTAAAGGTTTTTTACGTACATAATATGTAACTTTTTAATAAAAATAAACATTTCTGATGCTTTACACAAATTCTCAATAAAAAATATTTCTTGTAAACACTTTTATAATTAAATTAAAAAATATTACACAATTTTGTAATAGTTTCTAGAAGTCGAATAAAAACTTGTGCTATCTCTGCACTAAAACAAATACAGATCTTTTAGAGATTCTACTTAAATATTACAGAAGCGTTCGTTATGTAAATATTTAATGTTTTTTAAAATTACTGTGAAATCAGATTTGTGTAATATTTTTAAATAAGAGCAAAATTACTATTGTTTCATTACCTGCGAGCCGTCCCAGCGAAAAAAACCGACCCATCTTCGGTTAACAAAATGGCATGTAACCCATCATGGCCAACTGCGATATGGGTTACTTTGGGTGCTTTCGTGAGGATGAGTTCCGACCATTTTCCGGTCCTAACTCCGGCTTGCTTGATACCCAAAGCAGAAGCTTTACCACAGTACAAAACCTATATTACAATGTTACAAAAATATCAACGAATTAACGGAGTTTTTACTTTTCCGGTTGTTGTTTTAATCAAACCGAATTCTTTTCCGGCACAAATCGTCGCAATTTCGTCCTCACTTCCGGTGTTTACAGTATGGGAATTCCCCTCCTCGTCGAAAGAAGCAATCCCGAAAACATCGACGCATTTGCGGGCCAATTTTAAGGGAAGTTCGTTGACTAGAGAGGCGGGTGAAGTCAGTTGGTTTAAAATACGGACAACAAAACCATCCTAAAAACCGAAATTTAACAAAAATATATTTTTTAGCGGTTATTTTACGTCTCGGGATGGCGAAATCGTCCCTAAATTATCACCATCTGAGAAAATAACAGACGCAGACTCGTCCCGACTATGCAGTGGCACTGATCCAGAAATCAACAAATTTGTCCTTTCAACGATCAAAAATTCGCTGCCTCGGCGCCCATTTAACTTCAAATACAAATTGTCCTAAAACCATCATTTCTGGATTATTTTTAGCGAAAATGAGTATCTACGTACCGTGCAAAAAACTAACGTCCCGTTGTCATTTGGGTAAAAATCGGGTTTCCAAAAGTACACGTGACCTTTAACACTATCCCCATAACCCGTCCCAATTTTGAAAAGTCCATTGGAAGTGAATAAATACAAATATTGGCCGTCACAAGCAAGCGATTTCAGAGCCAACATGACATTTTGCAAATCGTGTGGCATTTTTACACAAAATGAATCAATTTTCGAGCTACTTGGTACTCCATGAGTGACCCAATCAGGTCGGATCATTTTCCCCAAAAGCACCCCTTGGACACTCCTTTGCAGGGATGACAAAACCGCCGGCATCTACAATAATAACAAATACTAATATCTATTTCTGGTTGCAGTGGTGTCATACCTGAATATTTTGCACTGATAGTGCCCTTGGACACATCAGAAGGGCCGCAGTGGCCGACAAATACTTCCCAGTGTCCCCCCTAACCACCACTAGGGACAGAAGACAAGCACACGCGATTGCAGTCAGATGAGTGCCGTCGTTAGGAACCGAGCTTTCCGGCCCATGCATGCAAGCCAAGTCTAACAACAAGTCAAAAAGTGGGTCTATGACGTCCGGGGGCTCAGATTTGAGCCCTTCAGGTGTCTGTCCTTGCAAAACGTCCAATAACGCAGATAAAGCTTTCGTGCAAAGTCCCGGATGCGTAATGCGACTCTCTTTGATCAATTCAAAGACCGATCTGAGCCCCAATCCCACGACTTTTGACACTTTTATAGGCATGTATGTGCTAGTTTGGCTGTTATCTTCCGTGTCACTGTCGATTTCGCTCTGGTCTTGCAAGGGGGCACTGCAGCTGCTTTGGAGGTACTCCTGAGTGGCCTGTCGCATCCACCGGTCCAAGACAGCGAGTCGTATTGAGGCGAAAACGGCAAAAGCTGACGCATTGCCGGGTAATTCCATTTCAGGGGGCGACTGAAAGTCATTCTCGCACATCACTTCAAGTTTGCTTTTTTGTTTCGTGCGAGATTTCAATGTTTTCTTCTTGAGTTTCTTCCATTCGAGGCGTTTTCTACAAGTTAGGTTAGGTGGTGATTTAAGGGTGGATTTTACTTACTTTTGACTATCGGGGTGAACTCTGAATGTCTCGTGGAAGAATTTGCTGAGATAAAACGGGTCGGGGAGCATTTTGCGACTGTTATTCAAACGGGAAGAAAAATGCGAAGGAAATTATCGATTTTCTCGAGGGGTGAATCATCCCCGGGACAAATCGATTTTTAGTTACCCTTATTGAGGGGTTGCTTGAAAGGCTTGTGTTGCATTGCTTGAAAAGCGAATTTTGGGTAGTTTCTCACCTAAAACGGATTTTAAATATACACAGAAATTTAATTCAACCGGCAAAACAACAGCAGCACAGTATCACCAGTGATACCAACTGCAGGTTGAATTCCACTACAAAGTCAAACAATGGAGATTCAGAGGAAAACAAAGCTTGGATTCAGAAAATTTGCAAGTAAGCAAGAATTGTTTGTCGCAGTATTTGAAAAAAATTACGTTTAATCTAATTTATGCTGAATAGCCAGTAAAATTGTTTATTTGTTTGGTACCACTGGTGTATACCAGTGGTTCACCCGCAAAAGGAAAAAGAAAATGTTATTGCCAATTGATGATCTGAAAAAAGATACGTTACAACAAATTTGGAAATGTGTTATTTGCTTTTGCAAAGCCGATAGCTTTAACTATTGGCATCCATCTAGCGGTGTGAAGGTTAATTACCACCAGAAAGAAGAGAGGAGTGGCGGCTTTTTTGAATAAATTTTTACATTTTTATATTTTGTTTAATAAAAAAAAACAAGATAGAAATTGGTTATTAATTTAATTAATTTTTTACATTTGCCGCCATCGACATTAAAATTACATCTCATTAAAATTTAGCCGGTGTTCTTTTACTTAAATTTCCAAGATTATTTTTTACTAAACAAAAAAACGAAACAATAGCTCATTGTAATTTGGAAGCTTTATCAATTAATTGCTAGTTCTTATCAGTATGTATTCAGGCACAAGAGGTAAAAAGACCCTTGATTGCCTTTTAATAATGCTTTAATATCAGTTATTAAGTGACAAAAAAGTGTTGTTACCTCTTGTAATTAATAAAATTAATGTTTTTATCTAAGTAGACTTAAATTACAAATAATTATTTAACTTCTCTGGACTATCGGTCAAAGTTTCTTCTTTTTTCCCGATTTGACTTTGATTGATTATCGTTTATTTATTAATTAATTTATTTTTATTTATCGTTTATTTCAAACGGCAAGTGTGCTTTTTTAAATAAAATTTTATCTCGAATACGCCTACGTTGACACCACACGTGTATTTGGGTCATCATCCCCTTTATTTGAAGTGCCAATAGGATAAGCTCACCCTATATCAGCAGGGGACTCCTAAAATTTAATTTTAAACGCTCAATAAACGGGGGTAGAATGATACACTGCACATTTAGGTTTTTTTTTTGTTTCTTGCTACTTTAAATAATCGCATAGTATTCATTTCAATAAAATAAGATAATAACACATTTGACAGACATGATGTTTTAATCGTGTTTACAAAATAAAATTACAATTAAGCATAAAGGAAGGAATAACAAACTTATCAGAAACACAAAATATATATATTTTTTTTATTTAAATAAAGAAATTACTATTTTTTTTTCAATACAAAATGTTATATTCCATGTTGGGAGTAATTATTAATTTAAATTTTAGAATATAAATTTCTGATAAAATTGCATTTTTTAAGGTAATATGTTTCTGCATTATTGGTATTATTATTAAGTAAGAAGAATAATTAGAAATAACTCTTTAATTCAAATTAAAAGTCTAGTCTGTTTTTATGTTTTCTTATTTGCTTTTTACACTCACACTCTTCTTTTTTTATCTTTTTTTTATACATACGTGCTTCATTTATTATCTTTCCACTATTCTTCATTTTTACTCACATTTTGCTAACCTTCTCATCTTTTTCAAGTTTGTTTTGCCGCTTTTCCTTTCTATCTTTCTTATATTTTTGTGTTTTGTAATATAAACTTTTTTTCTGACTTCTTTTCTTTCTTTTTTACTTATTGTTTGTTTTGCATTATTATCTCTGATATTTTCTTTTGTTTTGTTTTCTATAATTTTATAATAATTATTGAAGAGGTTTGAACTCAAAGGGTTCAAGAAGTTAAATTAAGAGATATTTTAATCTGAATACAAGGTGTGTTAAAACTCGCGTACCAGAGAAAAATTTCAAATAAAATAAGACCCCAGACATGAAAAAAATGTTTAAAAAATTCTATTTGTCAAAAAATTTTGCCATTTATTTTTTGACATTTTATTAGGTATATTTAACAATACTAGTGATCTGGTAAATGTTTTTTTATAATTACATATTTAGTAAAGGTACAAAAATTTTGTCAATAAAAGGCACAAATAACATTAAACAGAGTTACAATTTAGGATACAGCTTCCTTGTTTCCTCTTCTAATAGTCTGTAGCAAAAAACTAAAAAAAATAAATAGTCAAAGTTTAAAATTCTCATAACATCGAAATTTTTATAGATAATTTTTTTTTTCCATTTTCCTGGGTATACCTAGTACCTTACCTTACCTTACCTTTTCTCTGGGGCGCGAGTTCTGACGCACCTGTATTTTTACTTATAAAAAATTAATTAAACTTAAAATTGCAGAAATTTTTCCTACAGATACTACATACTCGTCTTTGTTTTACATATACATATTTTACATATTTTCTGTTTTTATTTTTTACTCCTTCCTTTAATTTGTTTTTTATGAACGCGGCAAAGTAAGAAATTTCTATTTTTTCCAATTATGCCTTTTAATTTCTAATTCTGTTCCTTTCTCTTTTTTTATTTCTACCTTCTTCATCTTCAGTTTGACTTATAGTAATAGTTTATAAAACGTGTTTACTGGGTAAATTTTATTACTCTACAGAAAAAAACATGTTTTTAATTACTACTAATCAAACAAAAATGCTTTAACTCCAATTTTGGGAAAAAGTAGGAAATGAGACTCGGCAGATATTCAAAATAATCTATTTTGTTTCAAAGAATCGCATATCATTCTAATGCGATAAGATAAGGATTCGTCTTCCTAAACAAGATACAAAATAAAATCAAAAATAAATACAACAAAACAATACTTTGGTCGCGCGGAAGTTTAAAACGATTGGGCACTTAATTTAACGTCGTTATTTTCTAAAAAATATCTATGCAACTCGTACAAACTGGGAAACACGTAATTGCCATCAACGAATGGATATTTCTCTTTAACTTTTTTCAAGTCTTTATCATGGATCAACACGGCACTCCACCCGCTTTTCCTAGCCCCGACATAATCCAAAAGAACTGTGTTTCCAACATGGAGACACTCCTCAGGTTTGATGTCGTTAATTTCGGACATTTCCATCGCTTTTTCAAAAATCCCTTGACTCGGTTTGGCCACTCCGACGTCATACGACGCTGTCACGAACTTAAAATAGTGCCTCAACTTCGTGTTGATCAAAGTCGAGTCCAGTCTGGGATCGAAATTGGAGATCACCCCCATAGGCACCCCCCGGTGTCGCAAATACGAGAGCAGCCCCAAGGCCCCGTAGCTGGGCTGCCAGCACATGGAGGTCTCGTACAATTCGATCAAATGCGAGGCTATTGAGTCCAGTTTCCGGTCGTCCAAGTCGATTTTGGAGTCCTTGAAAGTGCCCACCACGATCTGCTTCCACCAGCTCTGCCAGCCTAGACTATTCTTGCCGAAATTGGGATGTTCGGCGTTCATTTTGTGCCAGTGCGATTTGAAATTGGCGCTCAGCGAGTTGCTGTCGACGAGGACGCCGTACATGGCGCCCACTTCGCCGTATTGTTTTCCTGGAGCCGAGCGGAATTTGAGGAGGGTGTCGGTCACGTCGAATGTTATCAACCGGAAACGTGAGAGGTTCATTGTGGCACTTACGAGGAGGTTGCACGATTGACTGTCAGAACAGGAATTCAATCCTGCTGAGGTTTGCTGCACACATTTACATCGAACTGATAGAGCTGACTAAGCTCAAGGTCGCCTGGGGATGCAGGAGCGCCGCCGACGACGGGGAGTGGGGTGCGACCTGACGTTTTTCATAGCGAATTTGACGTTTTGGGAAATAAAAAATTATTCCTGTAGAAACAAATTTAAGTTAAAAAAGCTCTATTGTGATGTAATGGACTATTGTTTTAATGCTTCTTAAATGCTAAGTAATTTTTTTATACTATCCATTTAGTGTTTCAGAACTCGCGCCCTAGAAAAAATTTGACCTTTGTTTTTCAACATTTAACATTCTTTATGTCTATTTATTTTGTTTATTTGTAGTATTTATTTATTTATTTATATGCTTCCATATTTAAGATGTATCATTTAAGATTTAATTTAAGAATTAACGGATTTGACATTTTACTAAATTTTCGAAGACAAGCTATAAAACACAGATTTGTCAACAAGAAATTACCACCTAGGATTTGAATTTTTAGGAAAATTACGTTTTCCATGTTGTTTGCAACTAGAATTTTCAGAAGTAATTTTGAATGCTTAGGGTTGGTTACCCCTTGTAGTTGACGGTTGACCTTTTCTGTCAACATGCTGTCAGCTATCAATTGAAATCGCCATACAAGCTGACAGGTGACAACCTAAATTTTGACACTGGTTACATACGATCTTTTGTTTGTCACCAAAATTTAACCTAATCAAATTTATGCCAACTTATTCATACGAATATCCCTAAATCCTAGGGAGTAATTTCTTGTTGATACGACAATATATTCTCTAACAGTTTCGGTGAGTGCAACATCTTCCATATTAATTCTTATTATTTCAAAGAAAAGTTTTACTTTTCAAGTGTCAGTAATGCCAATTTATTTATTTGTCATTTAACGTTAAAAGTTAAAAAATTTTGCCAATAAAAAACATAAATAACGTTAATAGTAGATTATGTTATTAGGAGTAAAAGTGATTGTTTATGTGGCGAAGCTGAACGTTCATTTCGCCGAACGGAGTGAGTCAAATGGATTCAGCGGAGCCACATAAACTCACTTTTACTCCAAATAACATATACTAATTTATCTGCAAACGATTCAGATAGAACGAAAAGAGCAACACACCAATAATCAAGTAAATCACCTCAATAATCAGGACGCTTTGCAATAAAATCATAACAAACGTCACGCGTCAGTTTCGGAATTTGTGTTGAGATTTCGAAAGTGTTCACTGATTTAACTGGTGAATAACTGGTGTAGTTTATAGTGCAAAATGTCGAATGCTGATAATCTACCTTGTACCTCTCCAGAAAATGCTGAAAAAGCGAAAGGGACAAGAAAGAGACAACAGTGGTAAATGTCAAAGTAAGTGTCAAGTAAAAGTGAAAACGCCTAGGCGTAAAAACAGTGTTTTTACTCCATGTCTGAAAAGTAAAACTTTTACCTGTCATTTAGTCATAAAAGTGGTCACTTTTGTGACGTTTGCAGATAAACATAGTTTTACAATTATTCAGGAAACAACTCTTTTGTTTCCTCTTCTAATAGCCTGCAGCAAAAAAACATGTAGAATTATTTTTCCAACAGAAATAAATTGGGTCAAAGTGGAAAATTTAATAAACCCCCATAATTTTAAAATTTTTATGAATAGAATTTTTTAAACATTTTTTCATGTTTCTGATATCTTAACTTAAAAACTTATTTTTCTCTGGGATGCGAGTTCTAATAAAACACCCTCTATTTTGTGTTTTTTTTGTTTTGAAACAGAATACTAAATACTGAATACACATTTTATGAGTATTCAATAGTTATTAAGACAACAAGACTTTTAATAAAACTTGTGTTGTTTTCAAATTTTTTCCAACACTAATATTTTCCACCCTAATCTTAGAAAGGAAAATGGCCAATTACCTACAATTAACGATTTATTTTTTATAATGGATACAAAAAAAAAATTACGTTAAATGAAAAAATACAAAACATTCGAGTGTGTATTGTGCGTTAGATTTCTAACACACAGTGCGAAAACAAATCGCACAGGTTTTCGGCCTCGTACGATATTGGCAATTTTCGTGCATATGTAATAATGTGTTATGACCTAAAGTTTGTTTTTTTTAAATGGAAATGCCAAACAGTCTTAACGTTGGCATCACTAGTAAATTCATTCATGGTAATTTTAATAAAGGAAGTTGGCAGTTCCGGTTTTTTGAATTAATTTGAAAACAATGTCATTAAACATCAGCACACAAAAACGTCTAAAAAAAATTAGAGACGAAACACCAAAAAAGGAACAAATTTGGTACACTAACAGTTTTTCGATATTTGGAAACGAATAGTTCGCAAGCAGGAAGTTAGAAAAAGGGCCCGTTAAAATGTAGACGCAATTTGTAATGCAGGTTTGCTAAACAAATTGACAAGAATACAATATAAACATGAAAGAGAGAGAACCTCGGAAAGAACGCAATTAAATTAGTGTCTTGTGCACGGTTTTTGTGGAACGAGTTGAAAAAGTAACAATTTTGAAACTAAACCTGAAGAATAATTTATAAAATGCATCAACTTTGAACTCATTTCAATAAATTACACAAAATTTATTGCCAATCATCATAATACCTACCTTGTATCTTTTGCTAAATAACTTTTTTCTGTATATACATCCTTTTTCTTCAAAGTTTTTGTAGCAAGAATCTCATTTTTGTCCACAACATTGTCCTTACTTGCGGTGTGTTTCTGTCAAAATTATTAGCACTGAATTCTGTCTTTAGACCTTAGGTAATGATGTCTGTCCTCAGGTATTCAATTATAGCGCTTTCAAAGACCAAACAGGCACACAAGATTCATAAAAGTCAAAATTTTGACAACATCTCAATTTGAACACATAACCATAATTTTTTAACAAAATTTCTAGGGACAAAAACAAAGAGCAAACAAAATTTGTGGCTATGGAGACAAGCTGCTACCAATTTTTTCACCAAAATTTTGACTTGGTAATTTCCATTAAAAAAAAAACAGACTTTAGTTTCGTATATAGTCGTAGGAAAAGGTAGTTTACAGTGAACTTTTTGAAGTGAAAAATATTGCCCGAAATTTTAATTCCGTAACTGTACCTAACCTCTTAGGAAGGCAAACATTTTACCTCCCTTTAGAAACGGAAAAATATGCTGCTAGATTTAATGGCGAAATTAGGACATCAAGAGAAATTGTTAGTTTTTGAAAATTTTCTTGCTAGATGGTACGAAAAATTATGGGTATTACACAGGAGGAAAGTGTCTTTTCCTCCCTGGGTGGTTACTACCCTCGACAGTCGCGGACAACTTCCATCTGTGGGATGAAAATATACCTACACTTTCTTCTCTTGTAATACAAAAGTCTATTACTTACTCAAAAACTGAAGACGGATTTCAACTTCCCGAACGATTTAACATAAAACTTTTAACATTCTATCTTACGAAATTATAATTTTCGTGTAATTTTACGTCTGGAACATAGAGTGTGTCCCTGGATAAATGAAACGACTCCTGTAAAAAATAAAAAAATCTCGATTTAAATTTAAATATGTAACATAATTTTAGTATTGAAAAATCAAGTAGGTATGCCTTGAAACTTTTCAAAAAAGTATTTTTCTGTAGAGTAAAATGCCTTTTATGTGACAAATACGACAAAAAGTTATTAAGAAAAGTTGTTTAGAATCAACATTTAGGTTCCTATACTAAATTCCAAAATCATCGGTCTACTTTGATTTATCGTTTAAAAAATTTTAGTTACCTATTTTTTTTTGGTCAAAGATACTATCGGATTTCATTATCTTAAATGTCACCGACTATTAGCCAAGTAAATTTTAGTTTAAAGGACTCAAAAAACGCTAATTTCGTTTAATTGTGTTTTTTGAGGAATTTTCAGACGCTAAAACGCTATAGACCTCAGAAATTATAAACTTGTGTGCTATTTACCTTGGGTTTTTATGTTCTTTAAATATAATAATATATTTATGTTGATTTTCACGCCTCTTTACTTACTTTTCGTTTTGATTAAACGATGTTACGTTTATTTTTTTGAGTTTTCTGCAAATACGCTTTGTGGTCTTGAGTTTTAACGAATGAAAACAATTTCACATTTTCTACAAATAAAATAGCTGCAACTGATTTATTATTTGTCAAGAAAATTCTGACGTGTGTTAAACAAGAATGATGGAAGAGTTTTTCGAAAACAACAGCAATTTTCCTTAAAATTATTTATTTTTTATAATTCTGCAATGACCCAAATCGAGAAACTTTACCGAGACAAACGCTTAAATTTGTTAACTTTGTTAATTAAATCTGCTAATTGAGTATTAGATACTTCGTCAAATATTCTCGAATAATATCAAGTCATTACTTGTTTTCTTTAATGTGTATCTTAGTTAAAGATCCAAATTTGTTTGTTTCTAATGAAGCTTCGAAACGGAATTTTATTTCGAGAAAAACGCAATCAATATTGAGGACAAGTCTCATGTGGCAGGCTAGTATTCAGATAAATAATTGCCTATTATGCACAAAATCTATTAGTTTCAAACTGATATGCCAAAATCAGGTGATAATTTCGAAACTTAATCGGTTATGAATTCAACTTGAGTGGATTTCCAACACTAACACTAATAAACTGTGCAATAATTTACAATAGATTTGATCATGTCTGGTTGTTATCTTGAACAAACAGGAAACTTTTCAAACTTAAATTTGTTTCACCAGAATCGATATTTATTATCACAAATGTTTTGAATTATTTATTATTTAATTTAAACCACAAAAATTAAACCAACAATAAATAATTCAGTTGTTTGGCATAAAATCAGTATTGACTAGATCCCAAAAACAAGGCGACAAAAAAAAGTCATGTCGTGACAACTAGACAAATTTTATATCATTTTGTTCGTCTCAGTGAGACAAATCAAGTGCACTAAAAAAAATTTAAAAAGTCCACACACTTTGAATTAAATAATTTTTTTCTAATTTAAATGAATTTAATATACTTTAACTTTAAAAAATCATTACTCAATAACTATTAGGCCGATTTCTTTCAAATAAAGATCATTCTAAAGGGATGACCTTGCCCTTTAGGATGATATGAAAGTTGAAATTGAATATTTGCAAACTTTTCTTCAAAGAGTGTTCGAAGAAGTTCGAAGTAAAT